GGAGGTGGTGGGAGTAGCAGTTGTGCCCCCAAATTGCTTCCCAAGTATGTTGCCAAGTTACAGTTGGAATGTCTCCCTCATTGTGCCACTCAAAGTCACTTTCTCCAGGGAGCAGACCCAAAGATTTGTATATTTTCATGCCAAGGTGCAATTTTCAATACTTTAATCCGCAGCTTGTTAGCAAGTCAACTTTGGACGTCTGCTAAGTGGCTTGTGGCTTACCTTCGCAAGCCTCTTCATCCTTGTCTGTGCGCTCAGACAGCAGCGACCCTCCATCGTTGTTGCTGTCAACTTCCTCTTCATCGTCTGAGTCATCTCCACCTACTAAAATAAAGAGCGCTGTGTAGTAATGGTACATGTTATGGTGTAACACAGTGGTTCCCAAACTGTTGTGCATATCTATGAGGGTGAACTGTTCATTTGAAATGTTGATATAAAAACTATATGGTATTTTACCAGGAAAAAGGCAAATAGAGAAAAAAAATTGAGAAAAGTCTGAAAAATTATCAATTCTGTGTTGGTAATCATCATTTCTATGAGATGATACATTTAAAAGGCGTTTATCCTGATATGATAAATTTGACTCATCTTGGGACCCTTTAATTTTATATTAGGACCTCTCGTGTGGGTCCAGACCCCCAGGTTGGGAACCACTGGCAGATTTAAACATTAGGATTATGAAGATTAAGACAAAACACTCACTTTTTTCCTTGAAATCTTGTGGGAAACTGTTGGGGAGATAGTAAATGGATGTTAAGCGTTCTCACATTTAGCATTATAATCTCTAAATATTAGTTCAAGTGACACATTTATAACCAAAACACTGGAAACTGACATACCCCAATTTGACCTCTTTTATCCGCTTGATGAAGACCTCCCTCCTCTCCTTCGCCTTCTTGCTTAGATTTTCCCCTTTTAATCCATCACAGAGGAAATTCTCTAGATCTGAACAACAAACACCAGGTAGGTAAAAACCCCTCACACAATCCCCTATCACTTACTGATTGTGCTGTGTTTTATTTGGCAGCCAAGTGGCCCAGTTATGCGGGAGATCACCTTACCTTTCAAACCACAACAACACACACACACACACACACACACACACACACACACACACACAAAGTCTGCAGTCTGCAGCTTTGACGCCTAACAGCACATTGTTTGATACTCCTCAGCAGGAATGAATGGAATGAAACAGCAACACTGTGGCGTGTTGTAAATGTAACTGGACTGAAACTTAAGTCATCCATATTGAGCCTGCGCTTCCTCTTTGTAACAAAACGTTGGACTACTGAGCCAAACAACAACACAGAAAGCAACTCGCGTGTACAAACACACAAACATGTATGGGTATTTTACCTGAAATGAGCGTCGTTAACTCCTCGGGAATCGGTCGCATTGTGGAGACTTGGTTCCTACAGGCAGCAGCGATGGACCGACCGGTGGATGAAACTGCACACGGAAGCAGCAACAGCTCCAATAGCTATACGGAAGTAAATTATTTATCACTGACCACACAGTTCTCAAACCCGCCTGTTGTTCAACACCCACATTGACGTTTACTGCTCCATCCGCTTTTGCCTGTGTATGTGTGTGTGTGTAGGCCTATATTTTTGACTGCTGCTGCTGATGCTTTTAGTGGGGTCTTTACAGACTAATAAAGTCAACAGATAATAACGCATGATCATATTTTTGATTGATTCCAGATCATATTTCTTTGCCCGCTGTGACTGACTCACTGGACTTTTTTTTTTTCTTTACAGTGATGCAAGCACTGTGAGTTTATGAATATGTCAACATTGTAAATCTAAACAGGCATCATTAATAGCTGAAAAGGCAGTTATATATAGTGTTACTGTGCCAGGGTTTATTTGATCAACACAGATGGTTCAAGGAGTCTACTTCCAGTCTTTATTCCTAAATCCCATTTTAAATATTTGCAATATTCACTTTATTGCACCTTTAAAAACAGAGTTTGTGAGACTATTACCTCAGTTTGTATTTCATGCTCAGTGAAAAACACAGTTTTCTATCCTATCTGATGCAATCAATGCACCAGTCCAGGCAAGAGTAAACCAAAACTCTCACTTCTTACATCAACTGAAACCTGTGCCTCCTGGTGTATTCAGTGACATATTGTTTATAAAGGTGTCAGTCATTCATTAGTCATCTTTTGACAGCCTGTATCAGCCAGTCTGGGTTGAAAGGCCGAGTCTTTGAACTGTATAGCCTGTTGTTGTGGAGAAATGAGACAGAAATTTCAGTGCAGCTCTGGAGGGGATGTGTGAGCTTCAGCTTGTACTTTAGCTGCAGGTGGTGGACAGTGTTTGTCAGTGCTGCCAGACACACAGACTCTCTCCCCAGAACTTCCGGTCCAGTAGCTTTGGGAAGACCGACATGCATTCAGTGTCTAATCTTATTTGTCACAAGCAAAGAGGAAATGGTGTTTTTACTTGATATGACATAATATACAGCCTGCAGTGATGCCTTTCTGCTTTATTTCTTTGATTAGTGTTAAAATGTTACAGATTTGTATTCAGAGTCACACTGAGAAAAGGAGCACCAGACCTTAACATCTCTATGTGATTGTCATGTGATGTACAATCGCATCACTCATTTCATAATGCAAAATGAAACCTTAGATCATATTCTGGTTTTCCACGGTTGTTTCTGTATCCATTTTCTGATGTCACTTCCTGTTCAGCGTTATCTGAGTAGCCAATAAATTCTTTGCCTCAAACCCACTGTGGTCATTCAAAACCTGACCCCCTCCTGACCTGGCAGTATTCCTCCCAGTGTGGAGAGGAGAGGAGAGCCAGCTTGACCTTTGACCTGTGTGTATGTGTGTGTGTGTGTGTGGTGTGTGTGTGTGTGTGTGTGTGTGTGTGTGTGTGTGTGTGTGTGTGTGTGTGTGTGTCTATTGTGGACCTTTTCTGGTTTAAACACTGACCTTGTTAGGACCAGTAGCCCTCATGGAGACCAAAGACCGATCATAATGCCACAGAACATCATTTCTGAGGTCCTGGTTAGGGTTAGGCATGAGTTGGTATTGATTAAGGTTAGGGTAAGGGGTTGGGGTTAGCCTGCCAATAATGAATGAAGTCAGTGGAATGTCCTAACAAGGATAGCTCTGCAAACTTGAGTGTGTGCATGTGTGTGTGTGTGTGTGTGTGTGTGTGTGTGTGTGTGTGTGTCTGTGTGTCTGTGAAGGGAGGGAGGGATCTGCTGGCACAGTGTTGTATCTAGTTTCCCATAAAGCTCCATCAACTCATCTAACAAATTCCTCCTTGTGATTGGGTCAGTCCCTTTCAGCACGCAATCTCTGTTTTGCAATCTCACTGCCTGTTGACCAAGCTGTGTTGTTCAAAGTCACCAAACTCTTTAACTTAATACAGATATGATTATGTTTTATTATTAGTAGTATTAGTAGTATTATATTTCTTTATGAGCAAATGCAAATTGCAGTGGTCATGGTGAAACCTGTGAATTTAGGAAAAAACATTTTATTTTGTGCTGATAAAAAGAAACTAGCAGAGAATGCTAAGGAATAAGTGATCTTTTTTTCAATAATAAACACATCATGAGAGAGAATATTTGTGGTTAGTTTTGCCTGTAGACACTGACATGCTGACACAGTGTGGTCGCAGTATTTAAAATCAGCTCAGTGGCTTCTGCACCAAATCAAATCTGACTGCTTCTCTGCCTCCTGGGCTTCCAATGATTTTCCAAGTTAGCTTCCAAGATGATCACAATTAGCCATCACTTAATACCATGTCTCAGTAGGAACAGCAGTTCACCACCTCGCCTCCTATTTTTGTTATTGCTATGAGCCCGACCGCACAATCCGGAGAACAGCACGATGACTACAGAGACACCGAGCCCATGAGGGAACCCTGTTGCCTGCAGACTCTGGTCAGAATAATTGATCGGTGTGATTGTTAATCTTGTAATTTCTGGAACAGTCGTTGACTTTAGCTTTTCACCAGCCATTTCCCTTAAACATTTAATAACATTATTGAAAAGAAAACAGCAACCACGGCCGAGGTTCAACTGGTCGTTGTGAAGAATTCCTTTAGCAGTAAATGGGACGAAACCAGTTTGGTCCAGATTGACATACATTTACTTTCATTAGCACTATAAGCATTTACTGTAAATTAATAGAATAAATACATTCTGCTATTTGACTCTGACAGCGGTCCAGGGCCTATTTTTTTTCTTCTTCTGTGTTTTATACAAAATCATATAAAATTATAACTTACAACAATTTGGGGGGGAAAAAAGTCGTGTGTCGGCTGCTTTAAATTAACCTTAAATTATTTTATATCATAAAAAGTTTTGAAAAACCACAATTGCTTAAGGCGCGATTCTTAATTCAAAAAGATACTATTGCATTGCCGATCAGGCCATAAACAAGCACCCTCAGTGCTGTGAGTTTTATAGGCAATAAAATTTAATTGGAGAGCCAAGAAAAGTCATAGCTTTTGGCCTGGGACTCCTAGCAGGCAATTCTCACTGCAAATGTTCTTTTTCTGGGTTTAAACATGCGGAGACAATGAATCTCCTAAAAAAAGAAATCTGCTGGGATAAATCATTAAGATTTGTAAAAAATAAATAAATAAAAGAAACTGGGATGCGACTACAATTTTACATTTATATCACTTGCATTTAATTTGTATTTCATGGTGCTCTATGTTCACTGCAGCTATTTGTTTTGGGGAAGTTTGAGATTGTAAAATCAATAGTGCCTTTATACTACGAGAACATATTAACTTAATATATAATTTAGAAAATATCCTGTGGCTTTTAAATTATACGGCCTATATTCTTCTTATTTGAATACGGGGTGAATCTGCTCAGCAGTATGAATTATGCATGAACAGAATTCATTTATCTTATGGCCAAGACTATCAAATATATTTTTATGTTTTAACGTATGGGCATGAAATCAATAAGCTCTCCAAACTTTCTTATTGTGAAATAAGACACTATAGCGCCGTTGATTCCAATCAATGTAAAGTTTTATTTCAAGAAAAATATTCTGTTCAGTTATAGTCGAAATCCATATAAAAATAAACTGTGAAATGTCCTCTCGCAGGAATAAACTGCCCATATAGGCTTAATAGTAGCTTTCTTTGTTTTCGCTTTAACTTACCTTATTTGTATTATTAATTCCCACCCCCTGACGTTACAACTGAGTATATAAAATGAACAGTTTCTGAATTCAAATAAAACATTGTTGAGATATCTCAATAGCTCAAGTTCTGCAGGTCGATGGTTGTGAGTGTCTCTGAGAAAAGGTCAAAAGTTTCGGACGATAAAGGCAGGGGACTTTGTGCTGAATCTGACAAACTTGGTGAGAAAGAGGAGGAGGATGAGAAAACGTGGAAATCCTGCAAAGAAACGTCCAGGCTCGTGGAATTATCATTGTCCGGGCCTATTGTTGACACGCAGATAGGAACAGTGGGTGCCGGGTTTGGGAAATGTTTCAGATTTTTCTCATTGCTGTTCAAAGGCGTAACAGTCGGGCTGTGACTCTCCCCATTGTGGCCGTTGTGACAGTGTTGTGAAGTCAAGGTATTTTGGTGGAAATACCTCTCCCTCTCCAGCAGCGTCCCGGCTACGCTGCTGTCCGCCTCCTGCTCAAACTCGTCCTCGGGCCCGTCGTCCAGGCACGCGTATTTCCCCTCACTGTCCCGGTTCTCCTTGCAGTGGGTCTGCCTTTTGTGCTTCATCCTCCTGTTCTGGAACCACACTTTCACCTGTTTCTCCGTTAAATCCAGCAGTGCGGCTATTTCCACTCGCCTCGGTCTGCATAGGTATTTGTTAAAATGAAACTCCTTCTCCAGCTCCAGAAGTTGGGTGTTGGTGTACGCAGTCCTCAACCTCCGGGATGCCCCTCCACCGCCAACACCACCCTCTGGGAACTCTGGTGAACCTAAATAAAATAAACCAAAGATTTTTTTTTAATCACAGAAAAGCTGGCGATAAAAAAAACAGCAAGACAGTGTGTGTGTGTGTGTGTGTGTGTGTGTGTGTGTGTGTGTGTGTGTGTGTGTGGTGGAAAACAAGCTCTATGGGGGGAAACTTGTGGCAAGCAAGCACCAGGAACTGGGAAGATTTATGGGCCACGGGCAGAATATGATGGGTCTGCGTGGACAGGACAGGACGGAGGGTGAAGATTAATGAACATGCCAGCTGCTGGCCCGTGTAAGAATAATCTATCACTCTCCATTACTGTCAAACATTAACACTCTTACACTGCATCACAAGTCAGCGCGTTAGCTACTTGATGAGATTAAGCATGCTTAAATCAAAATCCTATACTGGCTTAAAGGGACGCCCACGTTGCACAAGGCCCGGGATGCAGCTACTTGCAGAGGGGGGAAATCCTCAGACAATGAGGAGCCTTTTACATGGAGGTTATTAATCATCTTGTCTTGCCTTGGGGGGAGAAGTAGAGTGGTGAGGAGTCAGCCGTTGTCGCAGAAGCAGAAGCAGCAGCAGCAGCAACAGCAGTCTGGTGTCTCTTGATGCTTTTCTTTTCCTTCATCCACGGGTACTCCGGGGGTAGGGATGCAGCCTGCAGCGGGCTGCATCCTCTCAGAGCCTGCTTTGAGCGGCTGTGGCGTGGGTGGATGCCCGGGTTCAAGCCGGGGATGGTCTGCTCAAAAGGAGGAGGAATCAGTGTCGAGTGTGAAAGCGCCGAGCTCTTGATTGATGAACTTTGAAATGCATCACCGACAGGGTTAGTGAGAGATGTCAGGCACTCAGCGAGCGACGGCTGGCTGTTGATGAAACCACTTTCTCGCCCAAATTCGTAATTCATCTCCTCCTTCTTTTCTCGAAAACTCGCTGATTTTAAGTTAATTCAGATTTAATTAGCAGTTTATTTTCATAAACTACTAAACTGGATATAGTCGTATGGAGACCTGTGCCATAAACTATTGCTTTCATGAGGACATGGTTGGAATTAGACCGTGCTGCTTGTCACATGATTGCATCTGCCCAATGACAATTTGGGGTTTTTATCAAAAGAAGCCACTGTCCCCTGTGATTGATCGAGAAAGTCGGAGGGGTAACGCCTCATTCCGGGGGTAGGGGTTGCTTTATTTACACATTTTTTTGGGTCAGTTTGTTCACCACTGCGCCCCCCCAAAAAAAAAAAAAAAAAACGCAACCCAACCTAAACGCCGTGCCTCCTTCTTTGCTCGTCCACGCTCGTCTGCCGTGCGGGTAAGCGCGTTTGTGCTGTGGTACGTGTGTTTTGTGTGTGTGTGTGTGTGTGTGTGTGTGTGTGTGTGTGTGTGTGTTTCCTATGTAGTGCGTTTATTTCTAGCGTGGCAATCCACAAATCATTTCACAGTCACATTTGTGTCTCATAACGCAACGACGCCCCAGTCGTTATCAGTGCCAAGGCGTTAATCTTGAGACTCTCTTGAAAGGTTTGCTTGGATAGAAAAGCTGCACCAGACATCCAACAACATGTCCACCCCTCCCCCAGTACACACACACACACACACACACACACACACACACACACACACACACACACACACACACACACACACACACACACACACACCACACACAGGAGAGAGAGAAATTAGTTTTTAATAGATTTCAATATGATTTTTTTTTTTTGCGTTCATCCGATTTTGGAGCAATTTCATCTTTAGTTATATAGACTGCCCAATATATTATGTTATTTTAGGTCATTTTATCATTTAACTATTTATAGGAAATCAACCAAAAGCAACATTTTTTGTCAATGTAAGAAAGCAGCTGGGTTATTTAACGGGCATTTATCTCCATTTTACAGTTCACAGCTCCCTGCCCCACACCCCATTTCATTTATTTTATTTCACCTTTAAGGATAATGTTGACCTAAGCCATCATCCATACACTTCACCATTATTGGTTATAACGGAGCGCAGAGTAGAAATGATTTGCCACTGTAGTGTGAAGCAGAGAAAAGGTGCGGATCTGATGGCTGTTTATTGCCCAGGCTCTAAACAAAGAGCCCTGGTAGCCCGTGTGTGATCAATCTTTCTCGCCAAAAGGTCTGACAGCTCCCTGCCCTAAGAACACATTTAAACCATCTAACACTCCCTTCGATCATATATGGCCAGGAAGAGGACAGCAACTCTCTAGGTAGGCTGTAGGAGAAGTTTTCAATTTAGAAATGTGGGGATTTCTTTAGAAGCACTGGATGAGACGCACGACCATTACGCGCAAAGCTCTTTTGGTCACTCGCTCGATAATAAATCAGAAATCCATCGTAAGACGAAACTGTCGCTTTTTCGTTTTCGAAAAGGATTATACTGGCTCAGAAAAACACAGACGAGAGGAATGGACTTGGTTAATTGTATTGAAACGAACGGAGCAGCTTTTACATAGGACCAATTGTTTGCTGAGGTGAGTGGGTGTTGGCATTCAGCAGAAATCCCATTCAGTCTCATACCTTTCTCTCTGTCAGATACCCCGTGAATAAGTATTTCTCTGGCCTGTTCGTTTTCTAGAATTATTCAGTTTTACTACATTTGCTTGAAATGTTTGACTTTACAGCATAAAACTGTCCATTTTGACAAATAGTTATTTGTGAGCATATACTCTGCATATTAAACAGATCATGTGAACGAACCATATCCTAATTCAGCCTGTAACATGCTACAACTGACTTAGAAAGTAATTCAAGTTACTTTAAATCTCATTGTCAGGTTATTTCTGCAAATAATTATCCAAACCAACCGCAATTATGTAGTCTATGTTCTTATTAGAATCTGCAAATAAATTATAGTTTATATAGACCTTGTCGACCTGGTCACTGAGCGCATAGATTTAAGTCAACACAGGTGTAGAAACAGAACAAAGAGCTTTCTGAAACACACAAAAATAACCACCTCTACAATATTTGGCACAATGGAACATGTTGGACATTTTACATTGAAACTACATTTTTGATTAATGTCTGCTGTTCTTGTTCGGAGCTGTACAGACATAAAGCCACATTTTGCTCCTTGCTTTGAACGAATGCAGACAGGAGAGACGGTGTCTGGATGAGCTGTGAGCAGGAGCGGCACGTTTCCCGTCTGTTCGAGGACAACAAGAGACATCTGGGAAGCAAGCAGGCCAAACCTGCGGCCACTGAAGAATTGTTTAGAAAAAAAAGGAATCAGTTCCTGAGATTGCTTTCCCTGTGTTGTGGAATTATTTTAAATTTTTTTAAGTGTGATGCAAATGTTTAACCAGACAAATAAATAAATAAATAATTGAATAATCACCAAATGATCTGTTTTTGTTTTTCAGTGATTGGAAATGTCTTTAATGTGAAACGTATTTCATTGCAATAACACGTTTATTATATATGTATTACACATTTTGCATCAGCTAGGTCATGCAGTTTCAATTTGTATTTGGTGAAATGATTGAAAGTGTTTATAAACGTGTTTATTGCACGTTGCTTCCGTCGTTAACGTTGCATTATATCATATATCACTGCATATTCTGCCTGTGGGGGGAAAAGAAAAAAAATATATAGTGGTACATTCAAGCCGTGCAGTCCTTCTGGTCTGGAAAAGACATTTGGCTTCGAGCCGTGTGTGTATGTGATTGTGTGTGTGTCCTGGAAACAAAGACAGGCTTTTCACATTATAGTTTTATTTATTGAACCCCCAGGATTCATGAGAAGATTCGACAGCTAAAGGGTCGACATGTGCAGAAATGTCGTGACAACTGCAAAAATAAAATAAAAATATCAGTGATATGGTCATTCTAGGCCCATTTTGTCTCAGAAAAGAAAAAAGAAGACAAAACTATGAAAAACGGGGATCATAGAAAAGGAATAAAAGAACACTACCAGGATAGACAACCCACCTTTTAAGACACAATCTGTCAGTTCTCTTCCTCTCTGATTCAAATGTCCTTGCTCGATGCTGTGTAGGTAAAGGCAACGATGTATATGAGCGAAAGGATTTGAAGCAAATAGTATGCTTTTAAATTGATGTTAAGTTAAAAAAAAGGAAAAAAAAGAAGATAATGCAGGAAAATGAATTGGGGATTGCAAGTGGCTGATGAAAGAGACTCTCTAGAAAGTAAACCATGAAATCTTAATTAATATCAAGTGTTGTTCTCTGCAAAAAAGACTAGCCTATAATAACACACACATATCCCATCCACATCTAAAACAACAGACTATTGGCAGTGAAGATAAGTAGATGAAACAGACTCTAGCTCTAGTGTGTTCATGACTTTACTTCCCTGAACTTCTCCTCCATACTTCATTCATAGCCTCCTCTGTCACCGGTGGTGTCATGAGGTTTGATGTATAGGTGTCATGAGAGGTCACGCCGCATACATCCAGCAACTTTCTGTTTTCCTGCAGCACGGCTCCTCAAATGACTGTTTGCATGGAAGATATCCATCCAAACGTGCATTGGGATCAGACAGGAATGCCTTTTACGCACAACACAGTTCCCTAGCGAGGGGAGAGACTTTACTGCAGGCTTGTGTCAAATATCATGTTTTTGAAAAATGGGAACATCAGTTGTCCGCAATATCTTTACATTTTTCCCCAAAAAAGGTATGAGAGACTTAACGAGCTACATGTGGGTGACCTTTGGGGGTGAGAGTGGTGGAGGCAGAGAGGGTGGGGGATGGGGTGAGGGGGTGTTGAGAGCTAACTAGGAGGTTTGTTGGGGTATCTCTCACTTTTTTAAGACCTCAAGTTCATCGTGCAGTTGGGGTCCAGTAAGGCCCAATCCAGCTCCTGGAAAAAAGGGAAGTGATGACATGCCTCTGAAAATGTGTGTGTGTGTGTGTGTGTGTGTGTGTGTGTGTGTGTGTGTTTGTCACGTGTGTCATGCCACCTCAGTCACGACCTGCAAAACATTTCGTGAATGCATGCCTATATCGCTATTTTGTATCAATTTATTATTGATTATCACAGCTTAGAATATTCCTCTAAACTATTCAAAAGCACTATGCACAGCCATAAACTATTGTGGTTTTGTCTCAGAATCTGTAATAAAAAGTAAAGGAGCCCCTGGCCAAACAGAGTCCCTCTTTAATTAAATAAAGATTTTTAAAGAGCTATTTGTGCCTTAGATGCCGATAAAATGAAACAGAACACGCAGCAGGACTGGATGATTTACGACCAAAACGACACAACTTGTGCAACCCTGGAATACACGGGGAGTGGTCTCGGTGTGCCCTGAACGCATCATCCAGTTTGAATATTGTTCTTCAGATGAGCCGCTGCCTCCACCTGCTGGCGGTGGGAGCTCAGTAGCACTCGGATGAGAACAGAGCACTGACACCATCATCAGGACACATGGTGTTGGTTAATTTAATTCAAAGTTTTGGGCTTTTTCTTTAGTTTAGTGTATTTTTATTTTTAATTGTGTTCATTAAATAAAGTGATTTATCTTGAGGAACTGGTTTCAGCGTGTGAAACATGTTCAGTCAGTGTGTGTGTGTGTGTGTGTGTGTGTGTGTGTGTGTGTGTGTGTGTGTGTGTGTGTGTGTGTGAGTGTGTGAGTGTGTGTGTGTGTGTGTGTGTGTGTGTGTGTGTGTGTGTGTGTGTGTGTGTGTGTGTGTGTGTGTGTACGTGTGGTTGTGTGAGTTGTTCTGAGAGCTCTGCTGCGACAAAACAACAAACGGATGTTTCTGCACCGAGACAGTCTAATTGTTGGTAGATGGTCGTAAAGTAATTGGACGTTTTAAGACAGTCCCATCTGCAGTCCCATACCCTCTCTCTCTCTCTCTCTCTCTCTCTCTCTCTCTCTCTCTCTCTCTCTCTCTCTCTGTGTGTGTGTGTGTGTGTGTGTGTGTGTGTGTGTGTGATTCAGGCCTATCTTGTCTTACAGCAATATCACACATTTGACTGTTTGCCCGAGCCTCATTAGAAATGCTGGTTTACTGCTGTCACAGAGCCTCGACATGCTTTGCTGTTTTCGCACCTTATAAACAGTTCAGGCTGCGATTGTGGTTTATTGCTGGAGGGCATCTAGTCTAGTTTGTGTGTCGTTCAAAGGCCGAAAATGTACAACAAACGAATACATAATACACACGCTGCGATTCAGACAATAATTAAGTGCAAACTAATCTATAAATGCTGAAATGTGTCTCGCTATTGCTTTATTTTGCTCTCACTCTTTGGTGGCTTTGTGTTTATAATTGTTACAACGCTCTCTGTTGCTGCTTTGCAATTCATGCTGCGGACTTTCTTTGTAAAAGCTTTTTAAACGAAGGATTCAGGGATATCCAAAGATAATTCAAGTAGCCTAACTGCGGCCTTTTGTCATCCGTATATTGAATATTTATATAAACAGGATGCCTCGACTCTTGAAAAATCCTAAACGTTGCTATGTTGAATCAGACACATATTACTCTCTCATTTCCACAATAATGTTATTGTAATTTCTAAATATTATTATTAGAAACGTAACGTCGTGCAAGTGGGGTTTGACAAACGCCTTTCTGAGAGAAAAGACTATCTGGAGAGGCCTTGGGACGTTTTTTGCGGCTTATTTGGGTTGTTTGCGCCATAAAGCTCAATGGTTACAAGCAAGAAGACGTAGTAAAAGTTTATTTTCTTCCTGAAATAAAAACACGTTTTTAAGTTCAATTCATTGTCAATGCCAGAGGTAAAAAATACAATTTTGTTGACATAGTTTTGAATTTTTTTTAAGATGAACAGAGCATTAAATTAAGTAAGTGGTAGTAGCTATTTTATTAATTTATAGTATATATTTTGTTAAATGTGTTAAAAATGCGCGGTATGTCTTAATATAAGGCAAAATAATAACAAATTAATAAGACATACATATTTTTGTCATGTGCTATACAAACTACTCTTTATTTTGGATGAAACCAGGAACGACGAGGTATCTGAGTGTGCACAGTGTTTTCACAAATGGATCAAAAACTAACGTTTAAAAACATCTAGATTGCAAAAAACAATAACTTAAACAATGCGAATAGGTAGCTGAAAGACATTCAGGTAGTCAAGGATCATTTCATGCAAATAACAAATGGTATAGTTCACTATTTCTGTGCGCCAAACACAACACATCTAAATTCTGACGAGTCCTCTCAGAAACACCAAACACTGGATATCATAGGGGAAAAAAGACACCCAGCATTGTTTTAACGACACAAACTTTACAACAACATGTGTAACAAGTCAGGAATATTAAGGACAGACTCCCCTCTCCCTCCCTCCCTCCCCCCTCCTCCCCCTCCTCCCCCTCTGGCTCTAACCCACCATCAGTCCAAAACAAGTTAACTGTCTCTCCGCCGGTCTTTGTTTTCTTTCTTCATCTTCATCCTGCGGTTCTGAAACCAGATTTTCACCTGTCTCTCCGTCAAACTCAGGACTCTCGCTACCTCGTATCTACGATCCCGGGGGAGGTACATGTTAAATAGAAACTCCTTTTCCAGTTCGAGGATTTGATGCTTTGTATACGGACAACGCTTTTTTCTGGTGGGCTTTGCGTGAAGCCAGTTGGATGACGGGTTATCTGGAAACAGGGGGTCAAAAACCAGGAGACAGGAGAGTTAATGCTCTCAGAACAGGATTCAAAAACAAGACTGGACTATTGGCTTTACAGTTTGGGGAGGACATGCTACTCCTGGCATGATTAAATGCAAATTTGTTAAGAAATTACTTTGGGTTATTTTCACTGTGCACTGAGCAATTTGAGGACTGAGGATAGCAAATTCCTCACCACATTCCTTTGTAAAGGCTGTATAATTAAAGAGTGAAGTGTGTTAACCACCTTGAAGAATATAAATATTCTCTTTTTTTACAGGTCATCATGCCATTGTGCCATAAAATGAGTTTACACTATATTCTTTTACAACACATTTACGCCCATTTTTATACTAAACCAAGCTGGTGCCATCCAAAAACAATTCCCCCACATCCACAAGCCATTAATGCAATTTTCATCATTTAAATTTGTCCATAAAGTGACAAGAATTGAATGAAAACACTGCATTGCTTACTTGGATCTATCTCCCTCTTTCCCTCTGCTGACGGGCTCTCCTCAGTGGCTTTAGACGTGGATGTGGTTTCACAGGGAATCTCCACAAGGGACGCTTCGTTTCCTATGTCAGACAAAAGAGGTGTGTGCGTCTCCAAAGTTGTACATTCAGCACTCCCAATCAGAGGCTCGGGTTTTATCTCATAATGCATGGCTGTCGATGGTAATCCCGTTAAACACAGGGACGCGGACACCGGATCCAACGCCCAGGAGCGCGTAAACATGCCATCGCTGTCCCCGCTTGTGTAATGGTGATGTATATAAGTCGGTGTGGCTGCGTTTGGAGGGTGGGCCGAGATTGGACTCCATGATCCACCAAAAATAGAAGATTTCGCCTGCAAAGGGCAAGACTCGTGTCCGCCATATTCGGTGAGCATCGCCTGCTCCACCCCTGCAGCTGATGAGTACCTCGGTGCCATATCTTCCTGCTCGGGAAGAACAGGCGACTCGACATAATAACTCGTTCCCAACATCGACTTTGAAAAAAATGCCAAAGCAAAAAAAACAAAAAACAGCGCGTTACAGTCCTGCAATGTTTAGAAAAAATGGTTTCATTGCATATAATGTGCTGCTTTCCTGCACCAGCTATAGGGCTCAATGCGTCCAGCAAGTTGAACCTTGCCCAAGACTGGATAGGGCGCCCCAAACACGTGACCGTGGGACAGAACAATAAATAATAAATCAGCCTGCTGCTCAAGTAAATGGCCACCATTTTCCCTACCATATTTTAATAGCAAATCCCCGCGCCTTTATTGGGAAATATTACGTTTTATAAGCAATAAACATTATGATTTTTGTCAAGAGATCTCATATTGGTGTAATCGAACATAGTGGTGAGGGGAGGGGGAGCTGCGGGAGTATTACTTTAAAGCCTCCATTTGTGAAATCACCAAACAACCTCTTCGCTTAAAAAATTGTATATTCATAAAAACTTAATGGGATGATTTACTCTCCAACATAAAATAATACAAAAAAAATAAATAAATAAATAAAAAACGTATTATAATTGAATGACCTCCATCTATAAATCTCTCACTTTGGAAACGAAAATTCTGTTTCTCGTTAGTGGCTGCATAAAACATTTTCAAGACTTCTTAAATAAGATAAACCAAGCAGAAATGGGTTTAAAGCGTCACTGGAGGTTTCAAAATCAAAACGTAGGCTATTAAAGGGCAGTTTCCAAGATGCACACTGCTATGTCTGCAGGGTTGTGGGTCTACTTTGAAGGCAATCTAAAACGGAAAGTGGGGTGAGGTTATTTGGGTGCTATATAACAGTCTTTTTTATCACGGGCAATTGGGTTGTTTTTCTTTAGGTTACAACCTGGCTGTCTAAGCTAAATATCACCAATAAAGCTAAGCCTTTGTGTCCTTTCTCTGGCACAGGCAGACGCATCCGGAATTTCCTACGGCGAGGCAACTGGCAGACTGCAATGATCATAACCGAGGCCTTGTCTGTCCTTTCCTCCTCTCCTGGACACATACAAGCCCTAATCCTTTCATTCCCCAGCCTGCATCTTTACTTCCTGTTGCTTAGATCACACAGACACTCAAAATCCTTTTTGCAGAGGTTGTCTTAAATTGTAGACATGGTGAAAACTTTACATCTCTTAAAATTAAATCCAGTATACGTCCAGATACATATGTAACATCATTTAGCTTTATAATGAAAAAAACATAAAAATGATGTCAAGAGTTCCGTTTACGCCCAACATTAAACACTTTATTGCACTTTTTGGAATCATATTTTTTATGTGTTTGAAGCAGTCTGCGCCAAATTATTTCTGAATGCGACCAGTAATTAATAGTGATTCACTTTTCATGATGCGACGAGTTTTACTGAGGTAATCAAGGCAGTTTCGTGTTGTGGGAGAAATATTATAGCCCAACAACATGAGACTACCTAAACCACTCAACAGCCCGCTCTCCTCCTCAGGAATATCTCTTATAATGTGTTATCAAGGTGTGGAAATTATATATAAATTCGCAGTATAGCAAGTCTACCTGTAACAATTTTAATAATCTATAAAGGCGCAAAATGACAGTGCTCAGACAGATTTTATTCGTGAACTCACATTGTGCGGCAATTCTCAAACTGTTTTAGTTAGTTCTGTTTAGACATTACAATTAAGCATTTTACCATTAAAATCGTGTTTGTCATTGTTACTGCAGCAAGGAGCCATTTATTCATAATTTAAATAAATTAAATTATAATAATAGGAGGGGGAAAAAAATCACTGTTTCTCCACTCACTGCGTGGTTTACATTTAAGTCTGGTGTCAAGGACAAAAAGCAGCGAAGTGTGCACAGCCGCCAGACATCTATTACAGGCCTAAACTATGAAGAACATCGCCCTCTACTACTGTAACAATATTTACTGTGCCCAAAGCGGACCCAGTCCAGCACACAAAGGCATTAGCACCATGCGCAGTACCTGTGCCAGCTTTAAGATTTAAACACCGTGAAGCTGCTAATCTGTCTTTCTGAATGAAATAAGAAGTCTGCAGTTGCAGGGAAGGTTTTATTAATTTGACCAGCAAAATGTGCAAATATTCAGACCTCTTGGGTTATTTAGCTGTCACATAAAGGCCTACATGTAACTGTAACACAAAGTATCCCAAGGGTTAGTCCAGCATGCAAATTCCAATGGTTCACTCAGGTTGAATATACAATATGTACAAGCCTGAAGCTCTGAAACATTGTGGTCGCATTCTGAACATTTAAAAACACAATGGATCAACGTTACAAATGTAGCCATTTATAAATACATATCCACGACAAAAAATAAAACAGACGTGAAAATAAGGAATAACAACAATCAATAAGTTAGCAGTAGGGTCCTATTTTCCATGGACATTCTCACAGTTGGGTGGGGGGCTCTGCACCAGGCGCCCTTGCCATGGATGGAGGAGGGCGCCAGAGACGCAGACAGTCTCATGAGAAACTGAAGTTGCTGGAGAGCTCTCGGATCCTATTCTCCCGGCTCATTTTTTTCAGTTTCATCCTCCTGTTTTGGAACCAGATTTTGACTTGCCTGTCAGTGAGGTGCACACTGCGGCTGATCTCCAGACGACGCTCTCTAGTCAAGTACATGTTGAAGAGAAACTCCTTCTCCAGCTCCAGAGTCTGGTGCTTGGTGTAGGGGCAGCGCTTCTTTCGGCCACTCTTAGCTGTGAGCCAGTTAGCCGTACTTTCCATTTTTCCATCTCCTACGATGAAAATGAGACAGGACATTAGGCAACAGGTGTGAGAAAAACAAACATCATACCAGGAGGGAAGGCTCATATTTTTGCTAGAATTTATGGAAGAGTAAAATTCAAAAATCCAAAATAAACAAAACCCATTAATACAATTTTATTTTTACTGCAAACTACTGAAGACAGGCTTTGGCATCTAAATTATATTGTTTGAACTGCCTGCTTCACAACCAAATACGCGTATAATGCCTGATTTCTGTCCTCTATTTGAATTTTACTACCTTTTTACGCACAGTCACATATCTATGTGGACATGCCATATAGCTGCAATTCAGCATTTTACCAGAAGCAGCTATTTGCCCCGTTAAGCAGCCTTAACCACAGCAGCCTGGAGCCAACTGCACCTTTATTAAGACATAAAACACAGCCAGCACAGTCTGCTGAAATTATAGGCAAGGCCTGTGTCTTTGATTAACTCCCATCAGAATCCTGCACAGGGCAAATTGAATAGACTGGATTGGTCTTGTGGCTGCATTTAATGAAACAACCCTGACGCCCTGAAAATATTTTAAATAATGTATGTGCTTTTTAATAGTCAAAACTTCATATAATGGTGGCTGTTAAAATAAATCCACGAGGCCTGTTTAAATAGCATTGTAATAAAGCACAACTATAGCAGACTATTTGGGATCTTAAAAAAAAACAGCTAATAAAGCACAATAGCTCTGATCCTCGGCTCTGATTGGTTAAGTCACGTTCAATTTCGCCTCACGACCATAAACCACTAAATACCAGATAAACGCGCACCTGTGAGTGGCTGACTGTTGACCTAAATATTGAAACTCTGGTAAAAAAATCAGCATTCACACCCATGCATTCCTCAAATCATCGGTTAAACGCAATAGAAGCCTAAAAATGATACGTGCATGCCCTTTGTGCCGCCTGCTATTTTTTTGCAGCGTTTTTTTTAGCTGTACAATGTGTGTCGACTCTTCACCTTTGACGGGTTTTTCTGGACACTCCGCACTGCACGTCTCAGCGGGCTCAGGGGAAGATGAGCCTTCCGAGGAGAGGCGGCTGTCCTCCTCCCTGGCCGGGGCGCAGGGCGCGGGGACAGGCGCCTCCTCGTGGCTCTCCCTCCGCTCCGGCTCAGCAGAGGCAGCCTGGGGCTGGGAGGGCTGGCTGTCCAAGCGGGCAGGTCGTTGCAGAGTAAAGTGATTCATGTTTGGCTGGACATCATGGTACAGCCTGGAGGACGTGTATGTCTGAGACAGGCGGAAGTAGCCCGGGACCGGCAAGGTGCTGCCGGTGACCGGGCATGATGCAGTTGAGTAGGAAATGTCATCTACTGTTGCTCCTTTAGGACATTTGTCAGACTCATAAAGGCAATATGCGCTCTCTTCTTTTATACTCGGTGAGAATGAACACGGAGCCATATGCTGGCCGCTGGGCTGATCCACCCGGCAGGATCTCGACGTTTCCAGCCACGTTTCCATCCCTTGAACATACGGAGCAGAAGAAGGGATCACGCTTTGGGTGCTTGGCTCGTTGCGCTTACCGATCCCCGGGAAACACGAGCCACCGGAGAGTCCATATGAATATTCCGAAGCCGGTGGCAAATACACGCCGTTACTTTGATAATATGAACCACTGTCGGTTCTCACGTTGATCAGGGAGTCCACGAAAAATGAATTTCCAGCTTGGTTGTTGGGGCATGTCATCGTTGTGGTATAATTTGACGGAGGATGAAGATAGCCCTTTCTGGCTGACATTTCTTGTGCAAAACATTGCTGAATAATTACTGATACTCACGCTTCTCACTGTAGCCTGCAGCCAATTAAAACACCAGGCGACCACAGACTCCTCCCAGTCCGAGCAGGCAGCTCCACTGTGTCGTATATTTTGTTTTAGGCTAAGTAAAGAGCAAACTGTGGGGGAAAGTGGTGCATCAGAGGGTTTTAGGTAAAATCTTTAAATCTCCTTTGAATCTCACATTCGGAGCCTCGATCACCGCCTATAAGCCTTGAGCTGCCTATGTAAATTTAACAACAACCCCTATTTGACAACTCAGTTGTTGAAAGCTGTCCCTAACAATTATGTACAATGCATAGCTTTATGGCCAGTTTTACAACACTGTTAAAATGAAGGGTTCTAGAGGTGCCTGTGAGAAGCTCAGGGTGCATCAAGAATCCAAAAGGTCCCGTGTGACTCTTTGGTCGAGGGTCTTTTAACCCTTCTTGTGTTGCTTTGGTGATTATTATTGGACTATTTTTAAAATGCCTCATGGGCTGGCCAAACGCAGTGTACACAGTGTTACATTTTGCCACATTGCTGGTTAAACCAGTGCAAAGTCACTGCCTTCAGAGATCTCGAGCTGGGTGAATATTGTGGGTGCAAATGTCATGATTGCGTCCAGACACCTTTTACTGCAAAGGCTTGAGGTGACTCGCAGGCACCCTGCAGTAAGCGCCACAGTTGAACAATGCCCTGGAGCTACATTTGTCTTAATGGTCACCTAACACTGGCAATGGCTGTGTTTAGTTGGTAACTAAATAGATTAGAATTGGCTATTATCTCCTTAAAGAACCACTGGGAATTTGTAAGAGTTTTTCTTCGTATTTACTTACTAGCTATCTAGAAAAGGCACACTTCTTCCAAAGCCTATACACACATAATCCCCATTCTTTTGCATTTAAATTGAATCTTAAATCAGCACCTCCTAATATCCATTCTACCCGCGAACAAAAAGGTCAATGCGCATTTTAAGTTGTAATTTTGTTTTTTAAACATATGAAAGATTATCATTTCTTTCTTTATAGTCTTTGTCCTTTACATGACATTTTGGTCAAGTCAACGCATCTAAGTTGGAGGTCATGGGAAAATACAAACTAGTAACCTTGATTCAGCCAGGAAAAAAAATAAAATATTTTTCTTGCATAGCAGCAACGTTCAAAAGCTCATATACAACTTAATGGGGATACTGTTTAATGATAGACATTTAGTCGTAATTTAGAATAAACAAGACCAATAATCTGATACGGATCATTTTGTAATACAAGTCCGCCGTGCAAGTTATTTTAAAAATGAATATTAGTTGATTCACATAAGACAAAATTAAAGAACAAAAATCTTTAGCCTGAATTGCTACAATATTTAAAATAAAATAAATCCGAATTACATCAACCCATGCCTCCTTTAAAGACCGTCAACAGGGTTAGGAGTTTATAACACAGGCCTACAGATTTAGGTCAGCATAAAAATGTCTCCAAAGGTGGGTTTACCCTGAAATACAACATCGGCCACCTCCATTTTCCTATAAGTCTGGAGCCATAAAGTCTAGAAATGAGAGCTACAGTTTATGTACAGCCATTTTATATGGCGTCAAACCTGCTGCAGTCTAGTCTCAATGAATGATAATAATCATTAACACAATTGGATATTTCCTGTGATGTTTCAGTGTGCGCTGTGGGTGAGCTGTTCTTATATTATTATTCCCATAAAACTTGTTTTTTAATTCATTCAAATAGTTTTTTTAAAGAAATGTTCGAAAACTAATAAAAATCCCATCCTGACTTTTTGTGTCAAAAGGTCTCTCTGTTTGTGTCCGTATGGCAGTGCGCACGCATTATAACACACACATAAGTTGCATCTTAATATCAAAGTGAAGAAATGCTCTATGTGGCAACCCAAGTTCTTATTTTCACTTGTTTACATTGTTCACACAGCGAGTAAACAACATAAATCCAATTTAGTATTTATAAAACAAGGTATAATTTCTGTTTTGAACTGTATGGGGATTATAAAAGTTTGTGAGCCACAAATTGTTTGGAATATAGGCCCTTGGGATGTTAGTGCGCATTAGTCACTGCAGGCCTATTACGTCTGCAAAACTGCAACCTTAGAACCAGCATTAAATTTGATGCTCAAAGAAGCAACCGTCTTTTGTTGCACTATTTTACGTCTGGTAATTTTGCCACTAATGCCTTCATTACATCACAACATCTGCACCTTGGATGAAAAACAGCATCTTAGTGCTTTTTCAGATAGAGATGAACTGGGGTAGAAAAAATAGACCCATGTCCTCAAATTACACCAATACACCTCCTGAAATCATAAAATGTCCATGATAATATTTCTGTGCCTACCTTAACAATGAAATCCTGACGTGGTGACATATTTTAAAGCAGCAGAGCGTTGAGTCAAACTTCTTTTATATCTCAATTCACGGCAATGACATTGATCTGAGGAGCGCCACCCAGTGGGCAAAAGCTGCAGGTCTACGCTGCAACACAACACAAATGTAGAATATTCCTACCACGGTAAGATGCTGAAACAAATGACGCCGGAAAGGTCCGTGGACACAAGCTTTCAATGCTCCCAGCCGTTGTTTTTCAGCCCCTTAGTCACAGTTAATAACCTTGGTCTCAGACGCTTTATTGCACTACACTCCAAATGCTCCAGACGAATCCGCGTTTTATGGCCAAGTTACTGGAGCAACTGGGAGGATGTGCAGCAATCAAAGCGGAATTCCTGGGAGCCTCACAGGATGCACGGTATAAGGAAGGCATCAGGGCCCTTATTAGCTTATGGCCGGCCATTCATGTTGTTTTCAGGGGCCTGCTGGTGGATATAAAGCCACCTGAACCCAATTTTTACCCATCACTTTATGTGCGCGGGTTTCATTCTACCTTCCTTCGCAAGTTAACATAAATCCTCATGACCTATATTCATAGCTGTTTATTTAGTATTAAACAAATGTAGGGTCTTTGGATTAAACCACTCCAGATAATAAATAAATGACCATACATATAGTGATGATTGTAGTGATCTGGAGTTCGTCCACCTTTTTAGTTACCCCAATGTCATCGCCTGATGGACGTTTAGTGGATGAAATTAATATTGTCTTTCAACAACTACTTTGATGAGAGCATAATCACACAAATAGATTCATCTTCTTTGCAAAGAGGCGGCCTGTTACATCTATATGCATTCAAACAAGTGTCAAGATTGTTTCAAGTAAGCCTAACAGGCATGTTAGGTCAAAATCCGCTTTTCCACATCGCCCCAGAAATGAATGAACCCTTTGTAATGGATATCAAATAATAACTGCAGCGGATCCCATTTCCAGCCATGAGGGAATAAAAAACATCAGACCTACATATCATGCATATGATATGATCCACGTGCTGGTATTTAAAACAAAACATAGGATTATGTTTCATTTGGGGGTTTCGCTCTTTTACCAGCGGATTTAACTTCCAGAATAATCCAACATTACGGCCAAGAGCTCAAACAAAGTGCTTGTACTGTGTGTCAGGCGCAGATGTTAAATATCTATCACTGAATATTAGACTTAAAATGCATGAAATGAATGAACTGGAATACGATTATAACTAATTTTCCAACATTCACTAATTCGGGTGCAGTTGATCACCGCCAACAGTGTCAGGCGGAGAGTCTGATAGTAATTCCAAAACACACACAATAGTTTCCAGCCACTGGAGTTGTATTTGTACAATAAACTTATAAGATTAAGAGAAAGAAGAAAACACGAACAGTTGTTTGCTGTCAAGATGTCTGCCCCTAAAAGTTGCGTGTGCGTAAATTCGGGAAAAACAATTAAAAAATTTAAATTCAAAATTAATTATTTTGAAAATTGCAGCACAGTACACGAAACTTTAAAAAAAGGGGGAATTTGTTGTTTGTTGAAGCAGAAATCAGGGCTATAATAATAGATAATAATAATAATAATAATAATAATAATAATAATAATAATAATAATAATAATAATAATAATAGAGCAAACGGTGTTTAATGACAAAATAGTGTATAAATAGTAGAATTCTTTATGAAGTCTGGTACATTAAAAAACTCATCCTCTCCAGATAAGATGTAGTTGTGTTGTCAGAGTACATGGCTGCATGCCAGTGACAGTCTTTGTTCAGTTTTTATAGCAGGGGGTTTGTGGTATAGTACTGTAAACGGTCCCTGTTCAGTTTCTTCTCCTTCATCCTCCTGTTCTGAAACCAGATTTTGACCTGGCGATCTGTCAGATTGAGCATCCGTGAGAGCTGCAGACGTTTCTCTTTGTTGATGTAAACGCTGAAAAAGAACTCCCTTTCCAGTTCCCTGATCTGATACTTTGAGTATGGACATCTCTTCTTGCGCGTCCTCTGGCCACCTGAAAGAGAAATGAATAAAACCAAAAGGTCACCACATAAAATACTATAGACACATTGCAACAACGTGAAATCATTAGTCTATTTCCTGCTTTGGAGCAGCAGTGGTGGTCTAACATGAGTTTTGGAGTTCAAGTGTCTCCTTCCTCTCAGGCCTACAGGACCGAGATTTGTAAACAAAGACTGGACTTGATACTGGGACGTGTTGGGCATGAAGGATTGCGTGTCGGAAGTTGTGAAAACTTATTGAAATCTGTAAAACCATACTGGCTGGTTTTTAAGAGTGAGGGCGAGGGCCTTATCCAAACAGTCATGGGTATCATGTATCTGATATGCTTGTACTGTCCGCTTTTTGATTTCACTGTGCGTAAAGAGCTGTTGTTTTAGTGATAGTGAGACAAATTTCATGGAGAGCGGTTGTTGAATTAAATCCCCGCAAATCCGGTGCATTTGTCAATATTTATGTTTAAATAAGGAGCAGGGTTTAATCCTAAATCTGGTTCAAAGTCAGGTTAAAATGCCCCAGCAGCCCACACAAATCAGCCCACAATAAACCAAATTATAAACTCAAAAACAAACATGTTAAAATATATATTATGAACAAAATAATAATAATCACATAGACACAAAGATGAGCCCTGAAGGGTGTATCTAAAATGTTTATACTTGTTATTTCACTAGTAATTTATGAAAGGCTGTTTACAGGCTAACTATACAAGCAGATTTGAGCACACATATGGAGAGAAAAGTGCAGATCTTGTTGAAATCTTGGAAGACAAGCTTAACGCCAAAGTCTTCACGGCCAATTTCAATCCCAAGCACGTGATCTTGTCGTTTATAACATAGTTTTTTGTTATAGGGTAAATCTGCAGGCCCTCCATAAACCTTACGTGCTTATAAAACAGCATATAAAAAGCTTTAAGAGCAACGCGTTAGATTTTTCTCCTTCTTGCGCCGAGCAGGGGCTGTTACTCACTGCTGCTTTTGCTCTGTTTCTCCTCGCTGTGGCCGGAGGAAGACTTGGGGCTGAAGCTCTCCGCCGTGTCCGAGCCCGGGTGAGCCGGAGGAGCGGGGCTTGTTTTGGCGGCGTGTCTGTCCGTGTCCGCTGTCGGTTGTGCTGTCGGTGTTGTGCTGCTCTCTGCACCCCCGTAGGCGGTGTCGAAGAACTGGTCAAACGCCTGTGGAAGGACGCCGTTCCTGCCAACGCTGCCATAGAAGCCGGGCGTCGGGTTGGAGGAGCCGGAGTGGCTGGCGCTGGAGCTGCCTTTCACCAGGATCTCTGCGCTCCGTGAGGTCGGGCTCGACGTCCAGCCGTCCCGGCTGTGCACTATGTCCTCGGTGTAGCAGTGCGATAGGCTCCCCCTGCTGTGGTGCCATTTACTCGATGTGTCAATTCCATAGTCTCTGAAAGCTACATCTCTCACGGACGGGACTTGTGGCAGGGCTGAGGACTGGTAGGGGTATGTCATGGGGCAAGAGGACTGGCTCTGGGTTAAATAATGAGGGAGACCCGAGAAGTCGGCTCCGGAGACGTAGTAAGTGCAGCTCGGTAAATACATATTAGAGCCAGAGATGCGCTCATCAAAATCCATATTCTGCTGTTGGAAACGTCCTATAATAATCCTCGCATAGTTCCTCCGCAGCGCTGCGCTCCAGTCACTTTGAGGCAGACTGGTGGAGCAGAAATCCTTAGACGTACAAGCTGACGTGGGGATCCATCTCTATCCATTCCTGAGGGCCAAAGCCATGTGACCACTGGCACAAAATGACAGATAGCCTACGCCTCAACGTGTAGGCTATAGGCCTATGAGTCAATGAGTTTATAAAGTAGAGCTTTGGGTGTATGGGAAAGGAAAAATACTGAGAAGGGAATTTTGCATAGACGCAATTTAGGCTATTTTGAAAGAGCTAAATAATTCAAACGGGGTTGTTTTCCACCGTGGAGCCTCTGTAGGGTTGCTTCTATCTGGCTGCAGACAGTCATCGTTAAATTATCACATTACAAGGAAGAACAAAAGACAGAATTGTATCCAATTCCACGCCAAGCTGCTTAACCTGTCTTCTTTTTTTCCTTTTTTTTAGTCTTTAAGTTCGTTTTTAAACCTAACCCTCACCTTAACCCTAACCTTAACCTCTGCAGAGACGCCTGAAACATTTTAAAGATGGAGATCATATTTTTAGACCAAAGGCAACACGATTTAGACTTTGTTATGCACGTAGGGCTTAATCCCTGTGCCGCAAATAACACTTAGGCTAAACAAACCAGAGAACTTGTTGAGTTTGACAGGACAGGTCTTTATTTAAGATACGTTTGGGCCTGTGCCGCACATGTGTCAGTTATTTTGGAAGCTGTATGATGAATTTAATCTATTTTAAATGATTTCCCCAGTGAGCCAGTGGCAGGTATGAATTCGTCGTCCCTCTATGTGAATTTAATATAGCTCCTCTGGCTATATATAGACGAATCTAGTGCACAAGTGGCGAAGTAATGCGAGTCATGCTGCACTGCAAGTCAGGCATCAATCCAGTTTGGCACCCCGGGACAAAAAGACAATAGCCTGTAAAGACAGACTTAGATCTCTCTTGGTTGCTATGTGTTTATTTAGACAAGAGTTTTCATGATCATAAAGGCACACCAGTTCTGCTCTGCTCTGCAGCGGACTTCATTATGCCCAAATGTATGTTTAATTGCATGCTGTTTTGTCAGCTTATGCGCGTAAAAATTGCTATTTAATTATCAAGTTAAAACTCTCAAACTCATGCATATTGTGATTCAAGACTAATCGCATAGAGGATTCGTGTTGAGCAAAAATAAAATGTTAGGATGGAAATTAGAAGCGGGCCAGAAGCAGCCCGACTGAAGTTCACATGAGGGTACACCGGCTGATGTATTCGACGTAAACATACAGATGTTGCTCATGAATAATAAAAGCATTTACCGAAAGGGGCTCCAATATTTGCATCGCCTGTTCTCTCTTTCCCGACGCCCAATATAAACCTTTGGACACGGGCTATTTCCCACAGTCCAATCCATTTTCATTTGTCATCACCGCTGAGTAAGTGGGCACACGTGTCACATATCACTGATCCTGTTATGCAGCCAGTTTTAGAATTTAGTCCAAATTCACTTTTCATACATCAAAGCCTGTGAATTTGTCATGTGCAGGGAAGCATTAGAGACTGTGTAATATTTCATTCCACCCAGGTGGTTTGCAGTTTGACTTCAACGCATTGAGCTTCATTCAGTGGCTGATGTTATCACTGTGTGCAACTGTTCATTCATCTGCCGTTTACAACAGTCCTGCATGATAAATTAGACGATAATTGCCACCTTTATTCTTTTGTATTCTGACGGAGCCTCAGCATTCAGACGGAGGCTGCAGGAGTGGGCCCAGATTGTCACATTAAAACCTCCTTTGCTTCTTCGTCCCACAGCACGGTTCTCAAAAACAGCTTCAACCACAGAGAATATTGGGTTACACGTTCCGAGCCAGTAAATGCGCATTAATCCACTGAAATAAGCGAGGCCGTTTTCATTAAGATTAGACTAGTTTACATGTATGTAAACAAAAAAAGCTGGTAAACCTTGACCTCCAGCCGGTTATCATGATGAGGAAAACAAATGCGCACTTCCATGCAATTTAAATGTCTCTTTTTCCAGATCCTCTTTCGCTTGTTCGAAATTATGAACTTTACTTAACAAATAAAACACGTATTATAATGACAGCTGAAAAGATGGGTTAATACTGTAAGTAAAAAAGGTAAATTAAATCTAACATAACAAAACGTTGATATCTTTGTTTAGACAATCAAATGAAAGTCAAGGCTGGTCGTTTCTGAGTCGCCTTGAAAGGTTCAAATGCAATAAAGTTGGAGGGGGAAATAAAAATAAACATGAGGCCTTAAGTCTGCAGCACAAGCTCTCAGAGGAATACATGTATGAGATTTATTCAGTGTAATAGAAAATACAAAAGCTGAAGGTATAAACATACATTTAAATGTAGCAGTCACTGGTGGAGGTTGGTTAAATTGGATTATGAAAACAAAAGCAGTTTTCTTGGTTTCTCAGAGTTTTCCTTCGACACTTTTGGAGGAATGTGGTTCGGCTTAACTACCTGGAAATCTGTCTGCGCCTCCTGCTTTTTTTCCTGGTTCCTGAGTTCATTTCACAAGGGGGACATTTGCTAATATTTAGTTAAAATGTGCCGTGTGCAGTTTAAAACGTGTACAGTTTTAACTGAATACATAACAGGGTTATTTAAATAAGTATGAGTTCGAACAATAGATGGAAAGTTTGCCTTTTCGTGTTGTATCTCAGCCCATCGGAAACACGCCTAATTTATTTAAATGTATGTAAGCATTATGGTGTAAACTAAAAATGTAGGCTATCAAAACAGATGAATTAAAATTGTCTGCCTATGAATTGAAGGAGTTGTAAATCAATAAAACAGCGACAGCAGGTTTCAGTCCTGTGTTTTGGTGTTGGGGCGATTCTGTGTTTACATTTGGATCACGGATTATGCCTTTAAAGAAAATTGTTCAGGAGGAAACCAAACAAGAAAACATCTCTTAATCCCTTCACTTTTCTGATATTTATAACGATTTTAAAGTGTTTATAAAGAAGAAGCAAATAGCAAACTGATTTATTACTAAAAATAAGGCCTTTCTTAGTGTAATGAGTGCACTGCTTTCAACCCGTATTTCCAATAGTCTGTTTATTAGAGTTTAGTATGACAACAGAATGAGGCAACAGAATGATTAAAACATGACTGATGTTAACACAGGATTTGGATTTGGTAGCTGAAAAGAAAGTATCCCACTTTAGTTTTATTAATAGGGGACTGTTTGTATAAGATACACATTTTTTCCCATAAGCCTCTGAGGACTTGTCATGCGCCAACCAATACTTATGGCTCCAACCAATACTTAGCCTATATTAGTAGGCTAATATACGAGGTAACCTTCTGCTTAAAAACAAGAAAGAGATCATTTTATTTATTAACTATAGTGGGATAGAGGAAATAAATACATTACAACACTGATGAGAATAACTCCATTTGAATGTACAGAATAATTGAACATTTGATGTATTGAGGTGTAAAGAAACAGAACTGAAAAAGATGGTGACTGTGAGCACATGGGGGGGGGGTGTATCTCCGGAAGCAGTGCACTGCTGGGGGGGGTTTACAGCTCTAAAACACAACAAAAACACTTTCTGAATTGTCAAATTCAACCTCGCATTCATCCACGAATGCCTGGCTGTCAATTATAATATTGCTACGGGCAGCAGGTCTGCACAGAGGGCTCAAATTAAATACACATCAAGTCACACTACCTGTCTGTCTTCACGCTGAAGTGTGAATGTCCAGTGTCCAAAATTATTCAGCTGTGTTGTAGTATTGGTAAATGCAGGTTTGTTGCATTATATCATATAATTATATCTAATAGGGTGGTAATAGCTGTAACATGTAAGTGCAACACAAGACTATTACAAAACACAGTTGCAATATTATCCGCTGTGGTGCAACAAATATTAAACATGCTCCAGTAGCCAGAGACAAATGTAAAATTAGCAGAAAATTCCTATCCAGAGTTAAATGTGTGTTGCATTTGATTGTGGAAGGAAAAATATCCAGAGACCAACGTCGTCCTATTAGTATTGTGATTTATTCGTTTGTTTTGGAGAAGATTTGGATTTTTCTCCATGATATCTTTCCTTTAACTGTATTTGATTCACAAATAAAGATTTTTGTTTTTTGTCTGAAGTTCATTGTATAACGTTCAACCACCCAAACAAACACGCACACATACACACACACACACACACACACACACACACCCACACACTCACGCAACACACACACACACACACACACACACACACACACACACACACACACACACACACACACACACACACACACACACACACCATCAAAGTGACTAGTGAAAACTAAACACAGACAATAATACATATAGCTATCAGTTCTGTAAGTAAAGCTTAAATAGGTAAATAAGTTTATTTTTTTTACTGTGTGCATCTACAGGGCTCCACTTCCCACCTTGGGAAACAGTTCAGCCAGTTTTCACTATTAGATTATGATTTCATTCAGTATTTTAGATGTTATTTTGGCTATTATCAATCATGTGACAGATTCATACAGCAGCACGCGTTTAGACCTGCATACGGGACTTTTTGGAGTGAGATGCATTAACCTGTTTGGCTGTTAGGGGGAGCAATGACACAGAACAACAGAGGGGCTGTTACAGTAGGCATGCAGAGGAGCTGCAGGATGTTTCTACAGGGACTCCATCTCAGCAAGATGTAAGATAATTTACATCAACATGACTCCAAAAACACCCCAAAAAGCGAATCAGTGAAACCACTTCAAACTTGTAGAATTATTACCTGCGTTAGGAGGCCCATCAGTTGCCTGGACTCTTTTAAGGGCTCTTGAGCAAGACGACAAACTCGCCTGCTATTGTTAGTTAAATCGCCCTGCTTGTACATGCGTGACTGAACTGAGAGGAAGACACTCACCCGTGGGTGCTGCCTTTGTTACTGCAACAAATGCTCCTTTTAATGGTACAAACCAGTACTTCAAATCCAAACCCAGACCGGACAGTTTAATTGAACCCGCAAACTGCCGGTTATAATGAAGTTGGACAGTCTGGAGGTCAGTACCATGCCCCCCTGCGAGTGTTTGATGTTTTAATTTTTGAGGAAAAAATCTGAATATTTTAGACTGGTTGTGTTTGTTTTACAGGTCCAGATATGGAGCCTTTATTCTACGCGTTGATATTGTCTAAGTCGATGTAATTGTGATATAACGTGGACCATATTAACACCAGAATACAATTATTATTACAGTATTTTATAATATGTACAAGGCCAAAATATCAATACTGACAACTAAAGAAAAGAGTTGTGCTTAATAGCTGAGGGGGTGTTTGGAAGGTAGATTACAGGCCTCTCTACTAGATCTCACACACACTTTTCATGTCAAAGGTTTTCCTTAACATCCAGCTCTTAACAAGTCGTTTTTTCTTTAAGTCAGTTGTATTTGTGTTTGTGTTTTGTTCCAAAATGAGATACATACTCACTGTTTGTTCTTGAACACAACATAAAAAAATCACACACCTCTTCCTGAAGGACAGGTCACGTGAGGACTTGAATTGAATTTACACAAATTAAACTTAATACACCGTTTATATTTTGTTTTCAGTTGCGAATTAATTAATAAACATGAGCATGAATTGGATGATATTCGAACAGGCATTTTGGAAACAAAATCTGGAATTGCGCTCAACAAAAAAGTACAAAAATGGCTTAAAGTTTGTACGTAGGTCTGCAAGAAATGCAGCACTGACAGAACACGAATGGAAACTGATTCGACAGATAATTTTTCCTTCTTATTTTTGAACAAAATTTGATATTAAGAAAGAATAATAAGCTAAACTGTGTGTGAGCAAAATATATGTCTTTATATGGATACAGAGAACAACTTTAATTAGCTATAGTAAGTCATCATTATCATAGTTTTTTGCGCTGTGCCACGACTTCAGATATATATTCCATTATAGCTATTATATCTATTATATATATTTTTTCTGTAACGCCAACATATTTGTATAAAAAGAGAGTTATTATTACTGTATATATACGGTTCTGAGGTCTTACCTTAATTATCAAAGTTAAATTCAGTATATGATTAGCTTTTATTAAAAATAAGTAGGGTAATTAGATATTTTTTACACACACTATCTCTCTCTCTCTCTCTCCACACACACACACACACACACACACACACACACACACACACACACACACACACACACACACACACGCTTCTGTGTGAATAGAGGCAGATGTACAGACAGACATAGACTACAGAATAATGGTGAACGCTGTGCTGACAGAGCTTCGCCACTAGATGGCGACATAAACTCTTAATGGTTGAAACCCACAGAGGGTCTGAGCTCATTGAGGGCTCTCTCATGCAGGCCTCTTGGCCTAAATACACTATCATCAGTTTAGGGAATATACTATGGCCATGTGTCATTTTACCATACTTGCCAATCGTCGATCGATCAGTATATATTTTCAGCTTCGACTAAAACATATGAATGAAAATGACAAGATCACGTTACGTCTCTTAAACATTTATTGTCAGAAACTTTGGCTATTGCAGTCGAAAAGAGGGAGAATAGATAGTTGCAGTCAGATAGTATTTACATGTATTAAATATGCCTACGTTTTCAGTACTTCTCTGCAAAATTATTCTTGACTGATAGACAGAAATTGCCCATAGGTCAGCCTGTTGACAGGCGAGTTATTCTGATATTTAAAAACCCTGTGTTTGGAAAAGAAAAAAAGACACGTGACATGGACAAAGTGGGCAAACATACTGAAATGCTCAGGCTACTTTCATAGTTTGATAACGTTTCAGAAAATACAGACTGATTAACCAAGAGATAAAGAGATAGAGGTTTATTTTAAATGGAGCGATTTAATCTTTAAAGGTCTGCTTTTTAAGCTTCCAAACTGGAACTGAGTTTATCTAAAGAATTTAATTATGTACACACCAAAGAGGTGTTGTAGGCTACCATTTACAATGACAGAGTATGGAGAGATATTTTAACTTTTCGTCTTCAGCGCGAATAAATGCTGAATATATCATGTAAGATTAATTTTCTGTTATTCCGTTATTATTTGTTTAAATTTGCCTGTTTGCATTGTGATGTCACAGACTAAAAGAGATTTTTTTACCACTGGATCACTGTCTAAAGACGAAAGCTGTTATTGTAATTTACTCCAGGTTCAGTCTTAATTTCTGGATTGTGTGAGGTGGAATAAAAGCCCGGGGTGTCTCATGCCTTCAAGGCAGAATGTCTCATTGTCTGGTGAATATTTGAAGGAGACCATGCATCCCCTCGAAGTATCGCCTTGGTCAACGTGTGCAAACCATTTCCGATCTTCTGTCAACAGGCCGCATCGACTGGTTCCAATTAAAATGTGAGGAAGGAATTGTGTAGGTCAGAACAGAGGCGCTCTGGCGACAGAGAAACCGTTCATATAATATAATAAATTATAGCACAGTTTTTTGGATGAAGGCGCATCCATGTCCGCCCTTCACCTCCTGTTTCAGTATCTCCAGAGCTAACTGGAGCCCTTGAATTTATTCACGACTTTCTTCTCCTTTACGCGCCTGTTCTGAAACCAGATTGTCACTTGTCTCTCCGTCAGATTAGTCTGCGCGGATATCCTCCTCCTTTTGTCCTTGGTGATGAATTTATTGGCGCCGTACTCCCTTTCCAGTTCCTTGAGCTGCACCTTGGTGTATGGCACACGCTTCTTTCTCCCACGGCGGATAGAGCTGTCCCCACCAGATATAGTGTCTGTGGAGAAAATAAAATGCATTATCACATTTATTCTGCTCGACTGCATCAGAAAGAAAACGAATGTTTTTTTTGTTTTTGTTTTTCACAAACATTTAATTCTCATTTTTAAATTGTTCTTCTTTCAGGCACATTATCAAATATCAACTGTGGAAAACAGCATTTAAATCAGACACATCTTTTTTGGGAGCTTAACTACTTATGTGTTAATAAAACAATTTTAAAAATACCTTGTAACGAGGATTTCCACAGAGGATTTGACTGTGGCTGCTCCTTGGTGCAATAAACCTGACCACTCCAACCATTGGTGATGGCCCATGGCTGGTAGGGCTCCATGGGCAACAGAGGCTCATGTCTTGGCTCAGATGGAGCACTCAGGGTAGGAACAACAGGAACGTCCAAGTAGCTGGGCTGGTAAGGACCAGAGGAGTAGCCCTGATAAAACGCAAATTCCTTTGCCCTGGTTGAGAACTCCTCACCAGAGACCGATGAGTCCATGTATTTATCGCCATAACCAGAGGGCTGTGCGCAAGCCTTGACGCTGCCGTGTGACATCCTACATGGGTAATAACTGCTGCCAAAATATCCATAGGGCAAAGATGCATTGGGCGAGCTCTGAGTGGCCGAACAGGGGCTGCATTGTTTGCCAGGCTCCCCCATGCCAGAGACTGGCACCTCGCTCGCAGTGTAGGTGGTGCTCGGAGCCAGCGAGGTTGGATGCGCTAACAAATTCCTGCACTGGTTTGCAGCAAAATTGCCTCCAGTAAATCCTTCCATGTTCTTGCTTCTTTCATCCAAGCCGTTGTCGTAGAGAAACATCACCGGGTCAATCCAGTGCGAATGGAGGAGTAATGAAGCGGTCATAGCATGCCCTACATCGAGACGACCAACTCTTTTTCAAAATCCCCTCGACTGAGCAGAGACAGGGACTCGGGCAGAGTAACGATACCAACAAGCCTGAGTACATAAAGATCGCAAGGTTATTGGCCAGGGCCAAGCACGTGATATGCAAAAGAGATGATAAACGTCTAGACATCAGATAATGCAGATCAAGCAGCACATTTGTGAAGATGTACTGTACATCAGTATACATTTCAGATATGCAAATAAGCCATAAGGTTATTTCTTTTCCAAACAAAGTGATATTGGGATCTCAAACTGAGTGGAACTGTGCTGTAAAGGCAAAATGTGTCTGTCTTCTAGTGCCATCACAACACGCTTATTTGATGAATTGTGGAACACATGGCATGAGAAAAACTATATGATGCATCTGCATTGTTTTAACAGCAGAATGGATGCGCAATTACGCGTGCCATTTCGGTTGCACAAGCGTTTAATCAAAGAGTAAAGCAAAAATGATGTCGGAGATGTGGATTTAAATGATTATTTTAGCTTTATATCTAAAGACTGGACCTTTTATGCGCTTTAAGTCAAAGCTGCAGACTTTAAATAAATGTACCATCATGTTACTAAATTATCTGAACAGACTGACTGAGTTAGAGGGAGTCTTTTAAGCATAATGATTGTGCAGGCGGTTTTAAAGAAAAGAAACACGAAACGATGTCTTATGAATACATTTAAAACGAAATAATTATAAAATGATACCTTTAATCATCCTCACATTTGGCACTGCAGCGTGTAAATCCAGACACAAGTTCAGTGTCCACAAAATACCCAAAGCATGCCCACATTTGGCTGCACTCTTCCTCATATGCGGGTGGAGGCCAAGGTCAAGTTGAAAGTTGCAGTCTGGCCAAATAGACACTTCACGCCAGGAAACCCGAAGAGAAAACACCGCTAAATGCCGAAGAGGAGTTTTAATCGGCAGACTGTGCTCGGTTTTTTTTTTTTTAAATCCAAGTTACATTAACTTGTTCGCTTCTCTTTCTTTCATCCCATCAGACATTGGAGATAAGAAAAAAAAGACACAGGCATTAAATGCTCAAAATGAAAGCTCAGGATTATTATTTTATCCTTCTACTAGAGTAGAAAAGTGACTTATGGGAAAATAAATGATGCCTACAGGTTTCTACGTTCTGCGTAAAATGCCTCCCCAGATGGGATCTTGTTTTCCTTCGCAAAGCTAAAACAGCTACGATATATAAACAAATCCTTCATGAGCATGAGCATTTAGCGCAAGAATAAAAATAAAATGTTGTTTACGGTTTTGCCTATATATGGCACTGAAACATTCTGTGTGGGAGCGCTGTGATAGACTAAACGAGGTGAATGTGGACATGAGGGGTGCGACCGGTGTCAAACAAAATACTGTTTTAACTTTCAGAATTCAAATTTGTTTTAAATTTCTATGGCGAGACCACAGACGCAGAGAAATGTTTCTCCACCTAAATTTGAGCACCTTTTTATTTTTAATAGAGTTTTCCCACCTTTTGAGGCTGTAAATCTTTATGGCCCAAGTTCATAGCTTGTAGGCAAGAGTGAGTAGTGGAAGAAAAGCATAATGTTTTATGTTACTGAATAGGTTTGGTCTGATTTTTGTTTTTATTTTATTTTTTTTTACATTGTCATGATGACTGACCTTAGATAAACTACTCAGATTTTTTTATTTACTACTACAGTGCACTGCATTTTGGATAGATAAATTGCATACTTTCTTAAATTTCGCGTGAAACCGATTTAGGAGCGTTGGTTGGACAGGAATCATCTCAGCCACGTTGTTCACACATTAGAGGGCGGCTGCAGCAGCTGGTAGGAAATGTTATCTGAGCGGTTTAACGAAAAGATGACCCGTGTCTAAACTGCAAATTGGCCATGAGTTGTTGATAAAAAAGCATTTTATTTTCATTTCAATATGCCGTCAACACACACACACACACACACACACACACACACACACACACACACACACACACACACACACACACACACACACACACACACACACACACACACCAGGCTGCAGATGTGCAGACGACAATATCTTAAACGAAGATACTTTGTGTGACATGGGAACCGAGGTGGTATTATTAGTGACGGTGATTAAAGGCACATTTAGGACAAATAAAAATGATGGTACTCTTTAGGAATCTTTGAGTGGTCGAAGCGCTGACGTGAATTTACAACTAAAATGCTACAATTTGTATACACCGTCGGAAATATTAGGCTATATGAAATAATAAAAAAATATGTCCTATTGTACTCAAATGTATTAAAGGACTCCTGAAGATCTTAATAAAACAACTAATTGAATATTGTATTTTGATGTTTTGATTTGACATTAGTTTAATTGCTTTACAGTTCTTTAAAAAGCAGGATGTAGTTTATTTTTTAGAATAAGCCCAACAACACACACTGCTTTATATTAGAAATGGCCACTATAGCTCTGACAATGGAGCTTTATGGCTGCATTGGTTTGAATGCAAAATGTAAAAAAAAAAAAAAAAAAAAAAAAAGGCTTTTTGCACTATAGGCTACAATATGTATTTCCAACTAATTGTAACAGCAGCAAATTAAGTGTGTGAGAAGTCTTCGGTGTTAGGATGAAACATCCGCACTTTTTACTCCAGATACAGTCTAACCAACTTGTTGGCAAAACCTAAAAAAAAACAAAAAAAACAAACATGCACCTTCTTGCTGATCTACTGTAACTGCAAATTTACATCAATTACATGCAAAAAAATGCCTGTGTCACCATCACCATGTTTAACATTTTAAACAAAAACGGAGCGCTCAATGCAAAGCTTATTGAAGTGTTGAAGAGGCTTTAGGTGGAGCAGGAGGGATGAGGCGCAGCACTGCAGCAGATGATGCAGGCTGCGTGTCACAGTCTGCTGGAGGCCTGAGACCAAAGTGCTGCTCTGTTTGCGGTACCTATCAAGTAGATGACAACACAGCTCTTAGCCTACAGTGCTTAATGGACTTTTTATGGGTTTGTCTTGTGATCGCATGACCTATGGCACCTTGGCCCCTCAGTGGCTCTTGGCAAACTAGATCAGAAACATGCCGCCCTCCTAAGTGGGGATAGAAAAAGAGGTCCACATCCCCAAATTACTGAAGCTGTCTGCATGACGCGATAGTCGGTCACAACTTTGTTCCACAGTGGCGGAGTAGGCAACATTCAATACAAATATTCATCAGAGAGGAATTGTAACATCGGGTTGGATAATTTTGTCCTTTTCGTGTGCAGTTTTGATCCCGTGTTCCGCATCCCACCACTGAGTCCGCACTGCAGCCAAGTTGGTTCAGCATGTTACCGTGACTACAGGATGCAAACTAAAACATTTCAGAGGTATTTATTTGCTTGCGCTCGAAGACGTGGATGGACAAATGTACAGCGAGAGTCAAATTTCTTCGCAAAAATTACTATCCTTGATCCTGTCTAGTGTTTGGGTTCATTTGCATTACTGAGGCCCCCATTCACGCAAAGCTCTCTTTGAATCTTTGTCAGAATTTAAAGGCATTACTAGAACAAATCAGCAGCAATCAATGAATATTATGCTTCCAGTTATAAAAAAATACATCTGTCAATATTTCAGCTGAGTTACAAGTTAACATCCAAACCCAGAAATGAAAAACAGATGAAACTTTAAAAAAGGAATATGGTAAATTGTCACATCAATTGACATCAAAATTTATTTTTATTTCCTAACAGGATATGATCAGACATTCTTATCCCAAAGTAACACTTCCAATGTCAGAGAAATAACCCTCCATGAACAGAAGAAAAAAACAAAACAGCAACATAAAGAAATAAATCACAAACAATATGTGGATAAATATGTGGAGACTAAACCGTGTTTGCAGCCGTTTAGCCTCGACAGAGTTAATGAGTCGTCTTCTTAACACCACAGATGCCCACAGAACTCTTTGAAATTCTGGGATCTGCACGGCTGCCACTGCTGGGCAGTCTACTGACATCTTGGATCCTCCATATATCTGACAATTTACTTGCTTCTAAAACTGAAAGGAGTGTTTTAAAAAGGCTAGATCACACAAGAAACATGATTTCCAATAGGATATAAGTGCACACATGATCTGTCACGCTGTGTTGGAGCTCTGTTGGCTTCATGTCTTTCACAACTTTGGAGAAAGAAAAAAGTCCTCAGGGCAAAATGCACCCTAACTACACTATGTTAGTCCTGTGCAGGGCCAGGCCTGGCAATGTTGTGGACGGGGTGGAGGCTGACATTACTGGCCCTCCTCCTCACGCAGGAACTGGAATACGGAGGAGAAATCTTTATTGGCATAACCGCGTGCGCACATCATACGGTACATCTGATGGGCTAAGGAGCCGAGGGGGACAGGAGTCTTTGTGTTAGTGGCTGTGTTTTGTGCGAGTCCTAGATCCTGAAAAAGAAAAGCAAACATACATTAAAAAAAAAACCCAACGGAGCTGAAAACTGAACTTAAAACCAAAACCACCAGTCCACACACACCACAGAGAATTTTCTTTATGTTGTAATAATATGGCCTTGATTCGCTTTTAAGAGGGACATAAACTACTGCTGAACAGTTCACTGCATCATTTTGGTGGCGTGAAGATAGAAATTCCTTTTTTCCACATGCAGGGCATAACACAGAAATCACTCCCTGGCTGATTCATGATAAAATAACTCACTTTAAACAAAGCACAAATACATTTTAAAAAAAATCTTTTTGATCTAAAAAATACAGAGGCTAATAGGAACAAGTTATTTTTCCACACTAATGAGAGGAAAAATAACTATTACAACCATATTTGTGATGACAAGGGCAACATTATAATGCTCCTACATTATTAGAAATAAGTTATCAAACGGACCTTAGCCATCAGCTGGGTACCAAAGCCTCCCTGGTAGTTATTCCCAGAAGGAACTCCCTCCATGACTCCAGGCACAGGGTTGTAGGTGTCACTGGACCAGCACCGACCTGAACTCATGTTCAGGATTTTGGCCAACAATTTAGGATCAAGACCAAGTCTGCAAGTGAAGACAAATGTTACTTGCACGAAGTGTACTGCTGCTGCATACATAGTCCTGATTTAAAATGAATGCATATGCGGTTAATTGTAACCAAGAGAGTGTTCACCGGATTCCCAAGTTCATTGTTTCTGAAGTCCCGATCATTCCAATGGCTAGAAGCATGTTATTACAGATTTTAGCCGCCTGTAACAAGATATAACAGTGTGTTAATTCATATTTTTTTATGACTTCAAATTTGGATTTCGTTAAAGAATTGACTACAAAGTTCATACACATTCTATTACATGTGCAACTTATGAAAAAAAAAAAAAAAAAAAAATGCTTTAGTTTCTGAGTGACATTGTGACAGTTTGTAGAAAGAATGTATATCTGCTCGTACCTGTCCAGTTCCAACCTGACCACAGTACACCACATTGGCTCCCATGCAGCTCAGAAGTTCTGAGACTGCAGTAAATTCCTCCTCTGCTCCTCCAACCATAAAAGTCAGTTTACCCGAACTGGCAGCTCCCACCCCTGGGAATGAGAAATCGTGCTTACATACAATGAACCATGTGCAAGCAGGGGTGGTTGCTTTACAGTGATTTTCTGAAAGTTTCAGCAACATGAAAATTGAAGGCAAACAACAAACAATTCAAGCTAATTCTTAAAGACAAAGTAATTATTGTTAATCATAGCAGCCAGCCAGGAGAAGGCTGCCATGATAACACCTATCACCCTTTGAAAATGTAGACTTTTATACTTAATTCTTTATATGCTCACACGTAAGTACAAAGAATCTTTTTAAAATTTCACAACCACATAAAAAATGGCCATCAAACTTGTCAAATGTTTTAGGCAAGATACAATCGGGAGATAATTAAATAAATATGTTTAAATGTGTTTGTTGCATCTTGTTCCACATGTCTCTAGTTATAATGGTGCCTGAGCATAATTTAAAACAAATAAATACATTTGGGGACAGAATTGACATTCAAAGCTTTTGGAGGGAAGATAAAAATGTCAGTTTCCGTCATTACTTTGGCACTATAGAGACTCCTAACTGTAAATTTAAGGGACCTATGAACCTATTATGTAGCAATCATCTCTTATTTATTATTATGTAGCCTCACAGTAATACAAATGACAACACAGAATTGAATGCAAGGTACGATGCTACATAAAACATTTAGAAAAAAATAAATAATAAGGGGATGTACATTAAATAAGGCACAATCACAACCATTTAAGTAATAAAAGTATGCATTTAAAAATGTTGATAAGGACAATAACCTGTAACCTGCTCTCATTGGAAAAGTTGGTGAAAAGTTTTGGGACACTGTTGCAAAACATTTGGTCAGCTTTGGACAAGATTTAGGGACAGCTGTTTCTGGATCTATTTTTTTACATTTCACGGTGCATTCAGGTTCACATGGGGTTAAAAGCTGTGTGATATACAATAACCAGGTGCAAGCCACATGGGTGCCAAGAAATTAACCAACAGAGTCTTATAATTAATCATGAAGTTTACAGGAAGCCAATGGAAAGAGGCCAACATGGGTGTAATACATTTCCCCCTCCCTAGTCGTCATCATCAACAGTCTGCCAGCAGCATTTTGTACTAACTGGAATCTAGAAGGACTGAGCTGCTGGAGACACGTGGGAGTTACCACAGTCAAGTTGAGAAATAATAAAAGTGTGGGTAATGGCTTCAAAATTTATACAGAATAATGGCAATTTAAAATTCTAATAAAAATTGAGATATGAAAAGCAAATTTTCAAAATACTGTAAGACCAGTAGCTGTGATTTGGTCACACTGTAGACACAGACACTAGACTTGGATCATTTGAAGACCGTTAGAGTTGAAAACTGAAAACTACTCTAAAAGTACAGATTGAAAATAAATTGGAGGTTGAATAGTTTTAAGTCAGTTTTTCTCAAACTTTTTACACCGCATACCACCTCAGAAACTATTAGGCTCTCCAAGTAATAACCAAAATAACCAACTATGGACAGTTTACACAGGAGGCAGGTTTATTCCTAATGAGAACATTATTTATTGTTGACTGTTGTTGAATCCTGAACGGAACTGGTTCAAGTACCAGAGCTAATTGGTGGAAAGGGGATTCCCCAGATCTGCACTTCTCTTATTCTGCTTGGAGACACGATTACAGTGTTAGTGAACCATTCATTTTACCTCCACTTACCATCTTGCCATCACATTTTAGTTCGTAACTAATTATGAATGTATGCACACATTACATGCAAAAACACAAAGTGCAAAACTGATTTTAAATGACTTTTGTAGAATTTTCATAGTTATGTTTTTAAATTAAAAAAAAAAAAAAAAGAAAAGATTTTTTTTTTTTTTTTTAAGTTTTTCCTCCTCATACCACTAGAGGCAGCTTAAGTTCCACCAGTGGTACATGTACCATAGTTTGAGAACTATTGGTTTACGTAATTAGCTACATAGTTAGCTACGACTAATAAACAAATACATTCTTAAATTTATTACTGAATTTATTATTGAATGATTGATAACAAAGCTGTCAGAAAGCAGGTCTGTGGATTTTCTCCAGTGGCAGTATTCTTCTCAAATATGCAGAAACTTTAAGGACGCATTTGACGTGAGAAGAAATTGTAAACTGGAAGAAATTGAAACTGGAGAAAAAGCATGGTTGTTAACAATCTAAGGAAACACAGATGACAACCTAATTGTTAAGCACTGTGAAAACACCTAATCAGACATTTTTGTGAAAAGCAGTGCTGTCAAACGATTTAAATATTTAATCGTGATTAATCACATTAATGTCATAGTTAACTCGCAATTAATCGCACATTTTTATCTATTCCAAATGTCCCTTAATTTCTTTTTGTCCCATTATTCTTTCGCATTTTAATGCTCTTATCAACATGGAAAAGTGGATTGGCTTGCTTTGTGCAAATGTTGTTTTTATTGAAAACAACATTGGCATATACTGTAGTGTTCAATTTCACACTAACATTCTCACTTGGAGCAAATAATCTCTCACAGAATGTAACACTGTCCATCAATAAAAGGGTAAAAAAATAAAAAAATACTTTGTCACACAAACAGCCCCTTCAACAGCCCTTTCTAAGGGATCAAAACAGGGCGATACAAAATAAAATTACAAAGTGCACATGTAAGGTAAACTAGGAGTGTGCTTCTGTCTGAAGTCATCCATTGTTGCCTGGCTTTGACGAGGGGGTGGAGAATTCACATCAGCTGTGTGTTTGGCCATCAAGGGGTATTTCAGACTGGACGTGCTGCGATGATAGCTCAGTTCACAACGACAAAACACACAGATGACTTTGGTCTTGTCAATGGAACCATTTGGCAACTTTTTAAAAGTGAACTTTCCATTCAGAATATAATTGGCATCCATTTCGGCGTCTATACAATATTCCTCCTTGGCACAAAGTTTGTTCTTAATCCCGTTTCTATTATCAACCACCAGTTCAACAGTTATTTAACAGCTCTACTCCTTCGCCTTTGGTAAGGTAATCATTCTAGTGTGAGGCAAAATGAAAGATGGCAGTTATCTCATCTGGTCTGTACATTTCTTCACACAAAAAAACCATCAGACACATGCTGACTCAATTATGTCCCCACCAACATGTGTGCTTTTATGTTTGAGCTTTAACCACACTGGATTAAACAGTCACTACCATGCCACTGTACTTCTTTTGATTTGAAAAAGTTTAATTTAGGAGTTAAAGCCTGTTGATTGACGTGATGTATCAAAGTATGACATACACTTCAGTATGCACTAGTAAAACAGCCAACACACACACACACACACACACACACACACACACACACACACACACACGAAAGCTGGACTACTTTAATCCATGTGCACTACCACAGGACGGAAGCATATAAATCATTACTAATCTTTAGGGCCAGGCTATAAAATGGACCAAAATCAATTCAAAGAAAGTAGCTGTCCTGACATTGACGAGGTCAAGTTCAAACAAACTCGGTTTCTGTGCGGACCCCCAGGAAAGTCAGCTCGGAACATTTCTGCAGGCAGAAGCTGCTCCTCCTCGTCTTCCTTAGATATATGCTGTTGGTGCTTCTTTTTTAACCGTAACTTTAGCAAAGAGCAGCAATAGTGACCACTTATTGCCACTGTCGTAATAAATAAGTACTGAAATGCCAATGTTAAAGTGTCAACTTGACACAAAATTAATTATGTTGAAACAAATAGTCCCTTCCCAGCATTTTACTATACAAATTACTGTAATACAGAACTCACACAAGGTTTATTGTTGAATCTACCTTTCCAATAATGTAGAGCTAAAACAATTAGTTGATTAATCAAGTTGCAGAAAGTGCAACTACTTTGATGATGGATTGATTTGTTATGAAACTTTCAAGCAGAAATAGCAAAAGTTCTACCTTCTTGAAACTGAATATTTTCTGGATTTTTAAGACTTCCATGATAGTAAACTAAATATCTTGGAGTTTAGGACTGTTGGTATCATAAAAGAAGATGCTGCGCTGGGCTCTGGGAACTTGATGTGATAGATTTGTTTTGCTATTTGCTGCCATTCATTAATCCAAACAATTAATCAAGAAAATTGTCAGTCAATTAATCAATAATGAAAATAGTTTTCTTGTTGCAGCCATTCTTGCTAGACAGGTCGGACTAACAATTTTCAAGAGTAAATAAACATTTGAACAGATATGATATGTTCTCAAAAAGTATTTACTAAGTTGCCAGTGTATTGAAACAGTCCGTCTTTGCTTTCATTTATTTCACTGGGAGTTGAGACCTCTCAGTATGGTGTAATACAGTTCACAGCTCCACAACAGCCTCCGAATTGACCATCAAGTTGAATAAACACCTCTTTAATCAGTTTAAACAAGAACTAAACATTATAACCTCTGTAAATGGGGGGGATTTGTGCTAGGCTGCATTAGTTTTAGTTAGGTGAAGGCTACTTGATAACCCGACAACCAAGTGTGTGTATTTCAAGATCAGAAAGCAAACTAATATATATTATGCAACATAGATCGTGATTAAAGATGTAAAATTTACCTCCTGATACAGGTGCATCCATTAAAACCGCCCCCATCTTCTCAGCGGCAGCGGCCATCTCTTTTGAAACAGCTGGGTCGATGGTGCTGGAGTCAATGAGCAGGGAGCCTTTTTTCACCTTTCTGTTGAGAAAAGTACACATTTAGAACACAACTAAGATCCATGAGGTTATTACGTATGTATAGAAAGAGGAACCAACTTCAGAATGCCATTGGGTCCGGTGTACACTTCTATGACATTGGGACTAGAGGGGAGCATGGTGATAATGCGGTCCGCCTTGTCTGCTACCTCGGCAGGATTATCCACAATCTGAGAAAACACACAAAATCACGAGGTAAGAAGAGAACACACTGTTGTGGAAACTGTTTAAAATTTAAAAAGGCTTGTGTACACTCGGCACTCCCACCTGAGCACCCAGCTCTTGCACTTCTTTGCAGGACTCCGGGAACACATCGGTAGCAATGACCGGATATCCGTGCTTCAGCAGGTTCTTTGCCATCGGGTTTCCCATATTGCCCAGACCAATAAACCCCACCGGTGTCTTCGAGGCCATAGACCTTGTGGAGACTACAAAATAACAGCCAAATGGATCAATGCTTAGACACAGTATCCTTGTTACATATTCCAGGACTAAAATGCTTGTCTTCTTCTTGCCGAATTTCCCCCCCCAAAGTGTTTCAGTAATATCTTAGATGAGTAGATAATTCAAATTAAAAATGTATTAGCAAATTTGTGTTCAGATAATGTCTTAATGTGTCTAAGAATACCACATTTTAATTTAGTTATAATTCCAATGTAATTGCCCTTCAGTGTGAAAGTCATCTAACATACTGATACTGGTACCAGAGCCTGTTTCAATATTTACTGAACTAACTCTCTGGTAACAGAACATTCTCTCAATAGATAAGGTTGCTTATCTCATTGAGTAAAATAACTTAATTTACTCCTTTATCTTCACATTAATAACAAAAAAACTGCCATTTACTACCATGTGCTTACCCACATACTGTATCTAAACGACAACACCTCGTTGAGCAAATTAAACGAAACTAAATAAAAATTTAAGTAAACAATTATGCTCAGGTTGTCCCTCTCCGAGGTTCATCTGTTCGAGTGGCTACAAAAAGCCACCTGCATCTTTCTGCAAAAGGATTTGGGCTTGACAAAATACACGGTGACTGACATTACATACCGTTCCTTAAATAAAAAGTCAGGATGCAGTAGGACACAAGAGCAACATAATGACAACTTCACACCCTTCAGCGGTTTCAATATTGCAGTCGAGACACATTATTGGCCTTTAGCACGAGAGGAACGACATAATTTGAACAGAAAAGCTCTTTAACCAGTAGACTGTGAGCACAACCCCCCCAACAGCAGCAGCTAAACCCCGTCTACTAACAATTAACTAAAACTTCTCTCCCAACATTTCAAGCAAAAGTAGTGTTTTCATGTCACAAAGAGCCTTCAAGTAACAACGGGAGCTTCTAAAGTAAGCGTAGCGACGGGCCCAATGCGTCCACAGGGTCCGTTTGTTCTCCTTACCAAACGCAAAGTCAACATGCTTGCAACACCCTCCAACTAGGTACCGAGACCCTCTCAACACAGCGGCCATGCTTCTTTCCTCTTGACCTTACGTGTGACGTATTTGTACGTACATGACTGGCAGTTCCTTCCTCCAATCAAATAACAGCCCTCCTCCCACAGTCAGCCAATGAGCTGGGGGGGAGGGTCTGGAGTCCCCAGCTACATTTGTTGCGTTTATTTTATAGTGAGTATTTTTATTTTACGTTTCCTCAACAGCATTACTTACCTAAAGTGGTTCTACGTGTTTCCAGTCGGTCTGTGTTAGGATAATGTCGGAATAGTTTTATTCACAGTGGTTGGAGAAGTATTCGGATCCTTTACTCAGGTAAAAGTAGCAATATTACTGTGTAAAAATAGCTAAAAAGTCCTGCATTCAAAACTGCGCCAAACAGCAAAAGTATTCAGTACTAAATATAAAGTATCAAAAGTAAAACTACCGTACTTATTATATGCTGTATATATTCAATCATCATTATTGACACTTTAATGTGTAAGCATTTAATATTGTAGTTGGCCAGCCTGGAGTTAATTTTAACTACATACTTATAGTCCAAACTTTAAGAATCCACCGTATTTTATGATTTAGTTTAAACTGATCTTGTTATGTAAAATCTGTTTATACAAAGTGACTATTAAATAAATGTAGTTAGAAGATATAAAGTGCAATAAAACATTAACACATAGAGGAGCAGACGTATAAAATAAGTAAAGTAAGTTCCACCACTGTTAATTATTAAATAATTTTAAAAAATAAGTTATATCTTTTAAATGTATTGTATATTATAATCTTTATCATAACTCTTGCACGCATAGTGCCACCCAGAAATATAATTTCACTCGGATCAGTGTTCCATTATATAATAGTTTATTCTTTATAACATTGTTTCCTTATTATATAATAATAAGATATTTTCAGACGGGTGGGATTCCCAACCAGGTCCCCTGTCCGGATATGACGTAATGTTGTTATTATTCCAGGAAGTGGGCACGGGGAAAGCACTGAACTGCGTCAACAATTGTTTTTAATCATACATTCGGATTTCAGCTTCTGTTCAACATGGCAACTGGGTATGTTTACAGTTTATTTTATAAACCTGACTAATAACACAGCGGTCGGTGATATTCCCTCCGTTTGACACGTGTTTCTTTTTCGGAGCTACCTCGAGAGAGACAGCGTTGCTAACTGTTTACGTTAGCTAACCTTGTCCTGATAGCGGGGCTCTCTCGTTAGCTGCTCTGTTTTCTGTTAAGGGCGTTGTGACATAAAACCGTGTGTTTAACCAGTAAGAGTAATTTGTTGTTGTTTTTTTTTGCTCGGTACTTTACACATTCCCTAAGAACAAAAGTCTATTTGCCATGCGATGAACGCGTGATCTTGTTTAGCAAAGTATGCGTTAGCTACCTAGCTGGCGAGCTAACATCGCCACATATGATCACTGTTGTCGCATTAGGCCTCGCCTCGTAACGTTAGCTGCTAGTTGTCAGCTGTCCATTTCAGCCATCACCGTTGACTTTCGACACTTTTGTATTTATTGTTAAACATGAGATTGAGACCATCGTCGACTGTCAGATGTTAGATGACTGAGATGAATGTTGAGAGTTTCCGATCATTGTCCGAGGACATGTTTTGGCTGTCACAGGCCTTATTACGTCGGTCAAAATGATATCAGCTGAGGGCCCAAATGGAAAATCCAGCCTGAAGCACAACTCATGATAATCATGTGTCCGTGTTTTTAGTTTTAAATTTAAATAAAGGCCATCTGTATCAAGAAGAGCCCGCTGTCATGTATTTTAATCCTAAATAAAGTGGTAATATGAGAGTATTGATAATTTACACCTGAATATAAAGTGGTCTAACAGATAATTCAAGATTTACACTAGCTTGAAATTATGAGTTATTGTTTACAAAATTAAACCTATGTATCTTTATGTATTGATTTACAAATGTAGTCTGGTTTCAGTTTCAGTTTTGCTGATGTAAATCGGGTAATGTGAAAGTAATCAAAAAGATAAATATTTGAGTAAAGAAGAACTAAGAACTACCAATTATACTACAGTAGTAGTATACAACTACCACTAAGGGTGTGACAGATAAGTTAAAGTTGGATATGTCTACAGTACCACCTGTTGCATTGTTTGTGTTGGAAGTGAAAGGTCATGGCCCCTTCTGTAAATGTGTGTGTCATGGGCTGTTCCTCGGTTTCCCAGTGATAAATTACCCTTTTGATGGTCAGTTGAGGACAATGTCCTGGTGACAAAGCTGGAATTTTTTTAACATTACGTCTTGACAAGGACTTTTTTCGACAGAGAGGACAGAGAAGGCATATGCCAATGAGCCCAGCATCACACAGTCCTACATCTAAGCCAAATCTAAGCATTTGTTGAAAATGTGGATTTGTAATTTTCCCACTTGTAGACAAGTTACTTGAAATGATCAGGAATCTAGACATTTCACATCAAAGGCTCAGATTGGGACCCATCACCTACAAGTCTGATTCTTTTTTTGGTCCTAAAAACAAACTACTAAAGATGTTTTTACATGTTTTGTGTAGATAAGTGACTGGGTAAAATTCTTGTTTTACAGAGCCCATAGCAGCTGGAAATACCTACATCATAACATTTTAGTTTTTCGCATAGTTTTAAAATGTATATTTGAAGTAATCAGTTTAATCGATTTATAGCCAAATGGTACTTAACTCTTAAACAAATCTATTCAAAACTTAAAAGAATGAGCATACATTTTAAGCCAGTCAAAGTATAGAATACTGTGTCCTATACACATACACCATGTGACTCAACATCTAAGACTGAAGATTGCCTGATAGGCCTGCGGTTGAGCCTAATTACAAGCTTTAAAACTAGAGCAGATTGGGATGGGAAATGATGGAAGAAACTTTTAATAAGGATTGAAAAACAATAGTTTATCCTTAAATAATGATTATATTTGCTTTATGAAAACTTTTATGGCTCTGTTTGAATATCGGAAATGGTTAGAGAACTTTAAAGTGTATTAGCAGTGTTGTAAGATGTGTTTCAATTAGATTTTAAAGTAAACTTGACAACTAATAGGAAAAATGTCATTGTCATCAGTAACAACATACAGTAATTGTGGGATTCTCTGCATTGAATCTGTTTGTATACAAATGACTTGCTTCTGATTGCTCACTTATTGTCATTTATTGTAAATAATGGTATTTTAGTATTGTTTCTGTGGTTATTATCGTTTCTAAACACATGTTTTGTTGCTTGTCTCTTCCTGTTTAGCCACTGCTGAGTAATTTATGGCACTGTTCCTGGACGGGACTTTATTAAGCAACGACATGGACACATCAAACTTTGCCCACGTCATCTTTCAAAATGTGGGGAAGAGTTACCTGCCCCATGCTGCACTGGAGTGTCACTACACCCTGACCCAATTTATCAAACCACATCCAAAGGACTGGGTTGGCATATTCAAGGTGAATAACCTTAAGTGTATTATAAAAGCCTTTGACAAAAACACGAGATATAGACACAAGTATTGTGATTACTCGTAGTTTTAGTATTTTAGGATGTATTGGAAGGTAAATCGCTTAACATACTTAATGATATATATGACTCCATTTGTGCAATTGAGCAATGTCATCGTGGCTATTCAAGCATGATTTAAAATATCTATGAATATGTGCAGTTGAACACAGCCTTACTTAAGGAGTTTATTTTGCAGTCAAAGTATTGACTCAGTGGAAAAACGGAGAGATTTTGAGTGCAGCCATTGTCACATTTATTTGAAAAACGAGCCTGGCGGAGGGAATAGAGCATTTTGACCCCCAACACACAGTTGAGTGTCCCACATGGATCTTGTTAGAGGAGCACATTAAATCCAATACAGCGGTAGTAATTTATTTTGGCCCCATCTGTAGTGAATCGTGGATATGGACGGAAGCATATGAGTCTAAGCTCTTCTAGACCAACAGGCTTTTTATCTACCAGAGATGAGATGGAAGCTGGGATTAAATCACACCAGATCAAAAAAAAAATCTAATGGTTCTCTCTGTTTGTGTTACAATCTGTCTGAATGTGCTTCTAGTGTTGAGAGTCACAAATATGCTTACTGTCATGCCATTAAGCCAGCCAAGACAAATAGTTACAGTTTTGCTGAACATCAAACATTTCAATTGGTCATGGATTTGTAACCATGATGAAAACCTTAAATTTATTCTATGTCTGAAAAATATGTCAATGATTAATATACTTTATGTGTGTTATGGTATTTCTGTGGATTCATGAAATGGATGTATACAGGATACCAAGCCTTACTTAGAAATGAGGTCACATTAGGCTACTGGAGGTGGATCAGGAAATGTCTGGGGGCTGTTTAAATTCTGGATTCAGCACTCTGTCGTAGCTGGATGCCACATCACATTGTGTTTAGCTTCAAGGTAGGCACCAACTGGGAGTGTAGATCTTAAAATCACTAATTTCTTGAGCCGCTAAAACACATAGCTGAGCTGGAAAAGGCTGAGTGCAGGATCGTAAATCGTGTAAATGTTCCTGGCAGCGCTGACAGATGAGACGTTTGGTGCCAAGTTCTCGCGTTTGTATGCATAGAGATACTTCAGTGTGGGCTCCCAGTCACCACTTTCTCACTGGTTTGCTTCTGATCTGAACGCACTATGCGTGTACCAGATGTGTCTAGTTATGTGATTCAGGTTAAACTAGAAAATATCCTGTGGTTGAGTTGGTTGAAATGTGTGAAACTGTCAGTAAGTTGTTTCAAAGAATTATAAGTTTGAATAAATACGACTAAAATTTTAATGATTTGCTCATTTTAATGTATGCATTCACATGTCAACTTAAAGTCATTTACAAGTTGTTAAATCATACACTTCTACTTTGCAAAGAAAAACTAAACCTACTGTTAATAAAAAGATAGGAGACAGGTTCTTGTTTGCACATGGACAAAAGCAGCCTTTGGCCCTTTGATGTTGGAACATTACCATGCTGCGTGATGCTAGCTGTTCTCGGCTTCATGGAGGAATGTTGTTGGGACAGGTTGTCAGAGAGGCCTAGGAAAAAGCAAGCACTGCTTTATAA